CATCTGCCTGTCATTCACACTGTACTTATTTCACAAATGGAGTAACTGTGTATAATATTTTATGTATCTTCACTGATAAAGACTAAATCAATGTTATAAATCCTAAAAGCAATTTACCTAATTTGTTTTTTTACTGAATATTTAAGAAATGTTCTGTGAACACTGAACTGATACTTAGATTTTTAATTATACATAAACTATGGTTTTAACTGTCATGAGGAACTCACAAAATTTTTGTATGATGTGAGATTACAGTTTTCTTCTTTCTATAAAAATGAGTGCTTGGTCTTGTTTTGTTTTCTGAATTCTGAAGTAATTTTATTTCTCTAAAGTTTACAACAAATGTTTATGCTTTCTGATCAGGTCTAATGCAGTAAAGTTTGAAAGAATAATAAGCTTATATCCGTGGAGAGATTTACAGTGTCCTAAGGTAGTTGTTGTCTGGAAGAACCCAAAATTTATTTTAATACATTTAATAATACTTAATGTGCAATATAGATTATGTAATGTAAATTACAGCAGGTTTTTATATTTTAGATATATAGAAAAATGATATAATATTTGCTGACTTATGGTGTATTTCAGCAAACTTTGCATGTGTCAAAAAATAAAACAGTACTCTTAGGCTGAGTAGGATAATGAATTAATTGGTTATTGTAGTTGTGAGTTGTTTACATCATTTTATGTCTAAGGTTTTTTTTTACAAGGTAATATGTTATGGCCTTCTTCTGCAAGTAATTGATGACAGAAGAAACTGAGAAATTAAATCAATCTCTAGTTTTTGAGTCAAAGGCAGTTCATCTTGGCTTATTATTATGATTTCCTGCCTTCTGGCAACGTAAAGAGTGAAGTAGAAGAGAGACAATGATTAAAAGTCCTAATCTAGTATTTAGTTTCTTCAGGTTGGCAATTTTTGTTTGTTTTTTTAATGTTTGTAAGGCCTTCACATCAGATCAAATAGTGATCATGTATTATCTATTGCCATAATCTTAAACAGGCTGTTTTTACTGCTTTTTGTCAATTTCCTTTGATCAGTCCAGTTAGACAATTAGACTGTATCCTGATAATGGACTCGTGAAATCCAGTTCAGAGGAGGAAAAAAGGTATTTAATGTTAAGCTCTGAACATTAAAGCCTTCTCCAGTGCTCTGATATGGAAGTCTTATTTGTGTCTGATTTTACTATTTTTTTGGCTTTTCACCAATAAAACACATTATTTTGTTTTATAGTTTTTATGTCTTTACAACCTTGCTAAAGGAAAGAGGTGTGTAAGAATATAAAATTAAATGGAGAAGGTAGTTGAATTCATACATTAAAAATTGGGAAACTTTTGACTGTGAGATATCTAGAGAATTCTAAGTGGAGAAGATAGATCAAAATGTGGGAGACTGTAAAATTATATATACATTACCAAAAGTCGATGGCAAGAACTATTAGATAATTTAAATTTTACACCCTAAAGTATTTATTTTGTACTTGCAGTAATGAGGGAGATCTAATCTGAGTTCTTCAGTTATTGATTTGTTGCTTGTCTGTTCCCTGAGAAAGTCAGATGAAGATCAGCATGACAATATTTATAGGCCGCATCTCATCTGTGGTATGCAATCCATCTTCGTTAAGTTCAGTAAAAGTGATAGATAGCATTTGGCAACATAATGATGTGATCACTCTACCATTGCCTTTGTAAATCATAAGCTGTTGCATTCTCTTGTGTAGATATTTAATCAGTTATACACCCCATTACTGATTTAATTCAGAATGTCAGTGGCAGGTGAATAATGTGAGTATTTGTATATTAATATCGTATTGTATTAATGTTCCTTTCATTTAAGTATGTTATTCATGTGAAAATCATAAACTGTTGCTTCATGTCTAGAATAAATTTAATCAGTGCTGTAGGCATCTAATGCCATCACTGTTTTAATTCAATATGTCAGTGAAACAAATGTGTTTCTCTTCATTTCCAGTTTCTTTATGGTTTACTAATTCAGAATATTGTATGATGTGGTGAAAATGTGAGCCTGAGAACAAACAAAGCACTAATTTTCATCCTGTCAGTAGGTTTGGAATTGAATCCTCCAATTGTAGCATAAAATAAGATCAGTATATTTTGCATGTGTTTTAAAGTAACAAAATATCTAATGATAAATATACTGCAACCAGAAAAAAAATCCTTTGTGCTCTATAAAATGTCCCTTATGGAGTAAGAAACAAATAAAAAATAATTTTGGTGCAAAATGGTAATGCCATGACACTAGAGTGCAGTTGCTTGAGAGCCTTCTCCATTGTTCTTTCCTTGGCAATATGAAGTTGGTAGGTTTTAGTTTTGGTGACAGCCACCTGCAGATGGAGCATTCCTAGGGCTCTTTCTGTCCTTCATTGATACGTGGCTTATATGAATTTTGAGTTTCATGACTAACATCTTAAACAAAATGTATATTTTAGTCAAGAAATTACATAAAAATAAATTAAAAAAAAAAAAAAAAAAAAAAACACCATACGTATTGACTATTAAATATGGTGAAAATTTGCCTGCAAGAAGTACTGTTGATAATTCATCCAGATCAAACTAATGGTAATAAGAACAAAGTACTTTCCATTGTATGAAATATCTAAGTTTTGGTTCACTTTAGTGCTTACTCCCTGGACTTTGTCATAGAATTTAAAATCATCTTACTTACAGAATCACACTTCTTAAAACGAAAAAATGATTCTCTTCTGTGTTTGAATTTTTCAATTCTATAATTGAGAAACATGATAGAACTGACAAAAGTTTGTTGACAAATATAGGACAATAAAGGACAATGCTTATTAATGTGTTGTAGACGTTGCAGTATGATGCATTGGTTCAGTTTTATAATGTGAGTGATTGTATGAGAACCTGGTTTCTGTAGAATAAGGGCTTAAGCACAACTTACATTTCAAGTACACACTAATCATTCTAGTTGTGGCAGAAGCAACATCATTATCCTTTGTCTAGTGCGGAATACTTCTACAGTACGGTACACAAACCATATTGCTTTCAAAACTCATGACAGATTCAGACAAGTAACAAAGCTGAAGTTGATAGAAATTCAAAACGTTACATGAAGGAAACGTGTTTGATTGTTTTTTTCCCCCTATACTTGTCTTTCATGTGAAAGCTATGATTTGCATCAAATCCTAGTTAAATCTTTGCTTTCAAATGGCTCAGTCTTTATTCACAAGTTAAAGGTTTGGTTTTATTTTCCTGAAATCTTCCATAATTAAGATCAGGAAACACTCAACATTTACAATATGAAATGTAAAAGCAGTCCCGTGAATGCTCTGATGGTTTGTTCATAATGAGTAATATGCAAAATTGGTCAGAAAGTGTCAATCTACTTTGTCATCTTTTTAGCTTAGGAAATTTTAAGTAATGATCAATTAGTAGTATTCAGCATATATTTTTAATGGAAATTAATTTATTGAATTAGAATTGTATTATTAGTCCTGTGTTAATGTTTATCACTTCCATATCTCAGTTTACTTTTAATTCTAAAAATTGAAAATAAATGGATAGGACTGTTAAATACTATACTTAAAGCAAGAATACTTGTAACCCATTAATCTTTTCTAAAGCCGGAATTCTTATCTAAAGGGTAACTTGTGCAGTTATTTGTAGTTTTCAGGTTGCTTTCAGTCCTATTCTTAAACTTATTATCTTTTTTGAGTTACTATGAAGTGAGATTAATGTATCTTTACTCATTAATTCACCTTCTTCAGTAGGAATACTCTTTCTGTGCATATTAACCTCCCTTTAACAAGTGTCATCAATTTCTTCTATTTTTTCTTTAAGACATTTGCTGCAAATTTTTACAGACACATCATGGAAATGCAGTCAGAAATTCCCCAAACGCTTTAGAAAGAGAAATAGAAAAAAAAAAAAAAAAAGAAAAAAGAAAAAAAAAAAAACAAGACCCAAATAACTGATTAATTGCTTACTTTGTGGCTTTAATTTAATGTTGGCACTTTCAGCTTAATGAACATTATTTGTGGACTTCCTGTTCTGTGGGTATGAATAGCATGGTAAAGCATTACATCTTCAAGCAAGTCAAGAGGAAATTGTAATAATCATCATAATGTAATCCACATTATATTTTTAGGTTTTGTCTTCTGTAATTCATTAATAGCTGTATAAACCTTCGGGTCTAAAATTACTTCTTTCTAATAAAATATTGAGTGAAGTAATCAGTGTGCAGTTCTGTAATAATTCAAAAATAATGGTAGGAATTAATTACTGTTTCTCACAATCTGTCATTTTTATTCACTAGAATCAGATGCAGTTTATCTGTTTTGGATGTTAAATATATGTTTTAGCTGCCTAGTCATGTTTGCTTCTGTTTCTAAATCACATTTTTTACAAAGGAAAAAATGTTGTATTGTGGCGTATTAAAACAATGTATTGATGCTGCAACGTTCAGAGGTTCGTTCTTCAGTATGTTCCAGGTGTTATATAAGAGACTGTTATGGAAGGATACTTTGATTCCTGGTAATGTAATGCATATCTGTGTTACAAAATGCATACAAAGATAAAGTTCAATAGTACAATTAGTAAAAAATGTGCCCAAAACATTGCTTACATGAAGTCAAAATTTGTGACTAATTTACTGCCAGGATGTTATTGCTAGTGTGTTTACACTATAAGAGATATTGCAGTGAAAATATTATTTCAATACACATAATAGTTGATTAGTACAGTAAATAAGTCTGTTAGTATTGATCTTGCTTTCCATGTTTTATTGTTTGTATTAGTTGGTTGATTTTTTTTTCAATTGTTTAAGTATATGAAAAAATAATAGAACTTTGGTTGCAGGAAAAAAAAAGACAAACAGGTGCACGTATAGAAGAACTGATGGTGTAATAGGCTGTAATATTTTAACTGTGATTTTTGCAAGATTGACTTCCAGAGGGGAAAAAATAAAAAGAAGAACTTTTTAGGTGGAGTTTTATTTCCTATTTATGTATAACCATGTCTTCCAGATGTTGGGTCAGTGGAGGGGCTTGCTTATCACAGAGCTTGGGACACTCTATATTGGACCAGTTCAACCACATCCTCAATCACAAGACACACTGTTGACCAGAGACGTCGAGGAGCTTTTAACCGGGAAGCAGTAATCACAATGTCTGAAGATGATCATCCACACGTACTAGCTCTAGATGAATGTCAAAAGTATGTATTATATCTTTCTTATCAGATTTTGATTTTTGGCTAATATCATGAACATAGCAACACTTCTTTGTTTCACTGTCAGCTAATACAAGTGAACCCTGTGAAGGTTAAATGGGTTTCTTGTTTTAGATTAGAAACTTTATTATAAGTTGGTTTTTTTTATTAGCAATTGCAGAATTAACCGATAGCATTCTATGTGTTTTTTATGTTTAAGATCAAATATTGATCACATTTCATGGTATGTTACATTTCAAGAAAAGTCAGCTAATGTAAACAGCAAATTCTTCTATTAGAAATTAGTGATATACACATTTTTAGGCTTCACAGGTTATAATTATCTCATGGTATATAAGCATAGAGAGATGGTCAGAAGTAAGCAGACTCATGAAGAGAAAAATCAGTACTTTTACACAAGTTAATGAACCTATGAAACCACTATAATTTGAAGAGAACTGGATATTATAATTTCTTATTCATCATTGATTATCACAGTTACTTAGAGATGCTATTCATAATTGTCTATGAAGACATTGTTTTTTTGTTGTTGCTCATTTCATGAAGAGAATTGAATTATAAAATGTCTTATTGTTTTCTTTATTATTTTGATTTTAATACAGCTTAATGTTTTGGACTAACTGGAATGAGCAGCTCCCGAGCATCATGAGATCTACCCTCTCAGGCAAAAATGCGCAGGTTATCGTTAGCGCGGATATTTTGACACCAAATGGACTTACCATTGATCATAGGGCGGAGAAACTTTACTTTTCAGATGGCAGCTTGGGAAAAATTGAGAGATGTGAATATGATGGATCACAAAGATACGTAAGTTAAACAAAAAACCCAAATGTATGTAGTGTAAATCTGTTAGTTTGCATTTGTTAGCATCTTCAAATTGAACAAAATGTTACAAAAAGATAGCGAGCTTGAGTTGAGTGAGTATGAGTTGTATGTTAGATTTAAATCAGGAAAAAAATTGGCTAGGTGTAGCACTCTAACTCATCACATTCCAATCTGTGAAATTCTGAAGATATAAACACTTAATACAAGGTCTCTGCATGCATTGGTATTGGCTTTGAAGTATCATAGTAAACAATCTGTGTGAACTTGAGAAACATGGGAATAAATGTAGAAATGAGTCAAAGAGATGTTCGGCTTTACATAAGAAAGTTATAATTTTCCTTTGTGCGTAAAACTTCATTGAAATCACTAGAAATTCTTCTGTGTGTGATGTTGGCTAGTATTACTGTACGTATCTTATTTTTTCCTTTTCTATCTTTCCATTTTCAAATATACTTGAACCCTTTAACTCTTCTATTATAATACGTCTTGGTCATGGAGTGTTCTGTTAGTTTCAACTTAGACATTTTGCTTTCAATATGCTGAAGGCAGTTGAGCTGCACTCATGGTTTTCTATGTTGCTGATATTTTACGAAGTCTTAAACTTGTCAGTAGGTGGTTTGGTTTATTCATTTGTTTGCTTTTTCACTTGACAGATAAAAATTGAGATAATATATTTCTTTCATGTTATTCCTTTTTTGTTGTTTTTTTGTTTTTAATTTTATAATTCAGTTATAGCTTTATTTTAAGTATTATGCAAAACCTGAACTTGCTTTTAAGTTTGGGTAATGCTATCAGAGATGACTCCTGTCTCTGGCGTTGTTTCATCAGAATTGCACATCACCTCATAAATGCATTCTAACTAAGAATATTAGAATCCAACCATGAAATTGTATTATTGATCTGGTGAAATATTTGTATGGCAGTTGTTATTCATTGTTGATATGTTGTCCAGCCTGATGAGATATCTGGTTTCTGTAACCTTAGGATAATATACACGATAATCATTCCAATGCTATGGAAGTTTGTCTGCTAGGATCTTTCAGCAAGGTATTGCCATCAGCCTCTCCTTAAGAGTAGTTTAAACGAATTACTCTTTTCCTCACCATATCTGCTTCATTACTTTCTAGTTTCAGTTAGATTAGCAAAGACAGAGATTGCATGGTATGAAATGATAATTTAATATAATGATTTTTCATTCAGATAGCAGCCTCTTCCTTTATCCTATTCAGTAGAGTAATCCAGTACAAATAAGTGAGTGGCAAATAATTTAGCAGTATTGAGTTTTATCTATGAAGTTGAGTGTTAGAGTTTATTTAATATGTGGTTGCTGGATTACTCTTCCAAGATTGGAAGAATTTTTTTGTTACATGCATTACATTTTCTTACCTAAAATTTGTGCTTGTTGGTCTTTTGTTTTCTTAACATTTCATGTTCTTCCGTAGCATTATTGTGCCAGGTATTTGGTGTTTTTTTTTCATATTTTCTTCTTTCGTCAATTTTTGATCCTGCTTTCAGTTAGATTGAACATTGTGGCCCAGCTGTGTTTTGGCAATTTTGGAAGTGTAACATCTTTTATACGAATACAAAGTTTAAGTTTGCCATTTATTAGATAACAACATTTGCCTTTAGATTTGTTTATTTTCTCCTTTAATGTTGTGTGCCCTGGAACTTATTACAGATTTGCAGCCTACAAATATAATTAGTGATTTGTAATCAAAGGTTTGTTCATCTTCTAACATCCAAGTTACAATGTTTTTTTTTCTCAGTAGTACTTTCTGGGCCTGAAGATGTGATTATTAATTGATACAATTTAGTGGTTTCTCCACTAATTATTATCCTTCTGCTAATCATGGTTTTCAGTTACTAAAAGACAAGTCTTTTTTTTCCTGCCAGAACTCTGTATTTAAGAGATGAATTAAAAATAGTTCCAAAGTTGTTGTTTAACTTCTGCCTTATCTGCAGAGAATTGAGATTTCAGTGATTTTTTTTTAAATGCTCTCTTCTCAGCAGTATAAATACATTATCTGAAGTTGGAATGTTTTGTTCTTGATGGTTTTCTGTAGCAAATCTGATCAAAAGACCCAGTGTTTCTTGAATTTGCAGATGTCCATTTTTCCTGTTAGCATGTGTTAGGCGAAGATCAGAAACAATTCAAAAAGGAAAATATCCACTAGCTCTTAGTCTTACTAAACTCTTTTGCTAGGGGATTCACTGCATTGTTATTGTTCAGACTTATTTGGATTGTTGTGTACAGTAATCCTGGGTTGGAACTTAGAGAAAGTGATCCCCTAACCAGTGACCATGAAGTCCTCTAACCCAAGGAAGCTATCTACCAGGCTGATAGAGATGTAACACTGTTAATTTGCTGGAATATCTTGATATCCAGTGTGGATAGCCTAATGGAATTAAATGAAAGAAGAAATTCATGAAAAGACAATGGTAATCTGTAAGGATATTGAGAATAACGTTTTTCTAATTCTGCAGGCCCACATAAAATTCAAAGAAGTTGGTTTAAATTTATCACTAGAGGAGGGTTCTTATTGTTGTTCACAGAAAATTAGTAGTGTGTAATTAATACAAATGTCGTTGCAAAAAACATGGTTGAAAGTCATAAGATATGGAGATAAATACCTTCCATGTGAATGGTGCTGAAAGGAGCAGGCCTGTTAATAAATACTGCTTACATATATCATTCAACCAAACTGAAAATCTGAAGTAGTAACAGGAGCACTGCAAATGTAGAATTGCATTTGATTTTCGGTGTCTTAAGCATGTCAGTTTCCAATGTAGAGAAGCAAAAAGCAAAAAAATTAGTTCATGATGAGGGAACTCTTCTGATGTAGTTACATCTTACTTGAACAATTCTATGACAAAACAATCTTAATCTTGTTGGAAAATGTGGTGTTTTAGATTCACCTTTTTTCCTAGTTGCTGTAACTGCTATTCGAGTGTTCTGATGATGTTACTGAAAGATACAAAAATTTAAAATAAAACAAACAAACAACACTTTAAATATAGTACAGTGATGAAAAAATACTTTCAGTCAGGATAATTGTGACATTTGATATCAACAACTAATGTCATGATTATTTTTAGTAGAGCATATCAATGATTTAAGGGAAGAAATCTTTTTATTTTACGTTGTTGTTGTCTGCTGCAGTAAGAATCCAACCAGTAATAAAAACCAACGTTGCGGAACTAGGTGAAACCTCCTGCTGTAGAAATATAGACTACGCTGTGAACTATGAGTAGAGAGATAGTCAGCTTCTGAATGCTTGGTTGAATTTAGTTGTTTGTACCTTCCAGTTCTCTTTACTTATATATCATCTGGGCATGTTAGGAAGCTATTCCATGTATGGTATTCTGTGTCATTTAGGTTCAGATTCCTACAGAACTGTGTGCTTTTTTTCCTCCCCTGTAGCATACATAAAAGCTCCCCCATTCCAGAACAGTTTATGCACTCTTAGTTGAACAACAGGCAGCATATACTGCAGCTGCATGATTGCAGATTAACTGGGCATAACACTTGTGTTGATAATGTGCTTATGGATGAGATAGGTGAACAGATTTTTTTTGTCTCTATTCTCCTAAGTGGGAGCACTGCTTTGGATCATTTGCTGCTACCAGTTTTTATAAAATTTGTTACAGAAAGTTGATTATTTTGGAGGTTTTGTGATTTGAAAACATGGTTTTTCTTACAGTTGAATAGTAACCACTGATTCTGCATTGGGTTTCTTCTCTATATGATGTATTTGTGTGTGTGTTTCCTGAAAAATGTAGCAGTCTCTTACATCTTGATCCAAATCCTGTAAGATTAATATAAATAAGTCTATAAATCAGCTAGGTGTTTATTGGCTTCTTTTATTATTTTTGTTGCAGACAAGCAATGAGCAAATAAAAAAGGAATCAGGGAGTAGAGGGTAGATCCATTTGTACTAACTGCTTCTCCAGGCCAGCTAGCTGGGGCAGCCCCAGCAGGATTGCAGTAGGGTCACAGTGCGAGGACCAGAACGTCTGCTGCATGGTTCTGCTCCTGCATCTGCAGGCATCTTTGTCCAAATCTGTAGATACTTCTTGGAAAATTAATGTGCAGGCTGTACAAAATTTAGCAACATCAATGACAGCATAACTTAGAGTCAAATTTGACTGACACTGACTCCTGTGGACTTTAAGATGTCTTGTCAGCAAACCAAAGTATGAACTGGTGGCATTTTTTCAGGTGCTATAAGTGTAGAAGAATAAGTATTTTGTCTAAAACTAAAGCAATGTGAATCATAGCTTGTAGTCTGACGATTTCTTTTTCAGAGACAACAACCCTTCTCATGTTTCTTTTCTGTACTTCTGTGTTCTAGGTAATTGTCAAATCCGGACCGGGCACGTTTCTCAGCCTGGCTGTGTATGATGATTATATTTTTTGGTCTGATGGAGTGAGAAGAGCTATCCTGCGTTCCAGTAAATACACAGGAGGAGATACAAAAGTTCTTCGTTCTGATATCCCACATCAGCCAATGGGCGTTATTGCTGTTGCCAATGATACTAACAGTTGTAAGTTCTATTTCAAGAATTTTACACAATTTTAACTAACTTAAAATATTTTACTGTCTTTTATAATTTCTTTTGTTCTAGGAGATACTAACAAAAGATGGGATAAGTAGTACTGAATGAAATTCAATTCTGTTATATTCATTTTTTCCAATGTGATAGTAGCTAAATCATTTGTTGTCAAATATCTGCAGTTTTGAATGCTGTGAGGTGAGGTTTAGTGATTGTATTCAAGGGAACTCCATTTGTTTATCTTCAATATGCAATCCTATGAGGTACGCTGACATTTTCATTTGACTGATAAAACTTGAACCAATTGCCCATAAATCTGAAATACAACTATCTTTGCTGTCTCTAATAGATTTGCCACTGAAGCAAGTTTAATAAAACAGAGTCCATCTTTTATTGTTTATTCTTCAGGTGAATTATCTCCTTGTGCACAAATGAATGGAGGTTGTCACGATTTATGTCTTCTGACTCCTGATGGACGAGTGAATTGTTCATGTAGAGGGGATAGAATACTGATAGATGATAACAGATGTGTGAGTAAGTAATACTGGCTGATGCAGTGCTTTTTCTGTGGTGTGGTGCAGTTGACTATCACCAAGTCAGATGGCCCAAGTCATGAATTTGATTTCTATATACTTTTATATTGCTCTAGATGTTGTTTTTCTTTTTTTATAAATGTTGCCAAAGCTTCACAAGTAGCAGACTTTAAACTATTTTACATCTGATAAGACTTTTCTGGAGTTAAAAAAAAAATAATAATATTGATTTCTTCAATTCCAGTTTGGATATTTGTGTTCTATTTAACATTTCTTATGCTGAGCTAGAGGAACTGCAAGTCTAATTGAGGATTCTTAGTTCTCACAATGCTGATAGGAAGAAAAAAAAAAGGAAAAAGTGCTCTGATAAATATGACTGCCATTCTAAGGACTCTATAAATCATAAAGAGGATCAGATTTCACCTTGTCCAGAATCATTTGCAGCACTTTCATACTTCATATTTGAATCAAATAAATGTTTTCTAGTTATGTTGGCTTAAAATTTTTGTATAGAGGATGTATTTTCCTCCTGAAATTGGGTAGAAATATTGTAATGGAAACAAGCAAAAGAGCACAATAAATAAACTTCATTTCCTCATTATTCCTCTTGAGTTGAGGGCAATGGTAACAGTCATCATCTTTTCAGTATTACTAACTTGCTTCAGTACATGTTCCCATAAATTCATGGATCTTTGGCTATGTTTGTCTTTTACAGTCTCTCCCACATTGTACTGGAGTTCACCCCAGTATGATATTTCTGAAATTTTTTTTGGTTATTTATATATCAGTCCTTATCAACAAAAGTACAAATCAGCCCTGCAGGTCACTAGTATGGGGGAGCTTTCAAGTTTTGATGCTGTAGGTTTGTTTGTTTTTTTGTATAAAGATCTTTGGAATGAGATATTAAAACAGCAACCAATATTGAGCTTATTTTCTCTAAGTGTAAAACATTTTTAAAAAAAATGATGTGTTGTAATATATGGGTTTTTTTAGCTAAAAATTCTACTTGCAACACTTACTCTGAGTTTGAATGTGGAAATGGTGAATGCATTGATTACCAACTGACTTGCGATGGCGTTGCTCATTGTAAGGACAAGTCTGATGAGAAACTGTTTTACTGTGGTGAGTATTTCCAGACATTTCACCTTCAAGGTTAGGCACCCTTATATTGATTTCTCTGTGACTTTTCTACTAGCACATACTAACTGGACACTTTAATGAACAAGAAGAAGAAAATACTAAAGCAATCATTTAATTTAATAAATTTAAAAATAATAATAATAGTAACTCTCATATTATATGGAGAAAATCAGTTGTGTGCCTGTAGTTCTTGGACTTCTCATTGTTCTGATATTTATACCATAGCTTTGATATATCTTCTGTTTCCCATAGGACTTAATGAGTAGTTTTGATATAATGTTATGTATGCCTTTTCCAGAATCTTATGAAATGTCTCCTTTAACTCCTGGAGTTCACCTGCGTTATTTTAATAGCTGAAGTTGATACCAGATAAAGGAAACATTTCCTATATTATTATAGTTTAATAGAGTACTTTGGGGAGGAGAGTAGGTTGAACGAACAGATAGAAATTCAAATGGAAGCAAATTAGGAAGTTGTATCTGATGTAGAATCTGAAAACACTGTTTTTTATCATTCCGGCATAGAGTCAGTTTTAGGTTTACTAAGATGCCTTATTTTTCAATACTGGGGGAAAAAAAAAGTACTATCAATCAGTTTGTATTTTTATAGATTTAGGTTATTTTGCACTCCATCTTATTGCTGAACTCGGTTTAGGGTAAACGTGGCATATTTCATTCTGTTTTATCTAAGTTGCTAATGCTGTGTGTCACCAGCATGACGAAAGCATCACATAGAAAACGTGTTTAAAATGCTTTTCTGATGCGTGTCTGATTTTAGTGTAAGGATATTGGTATATGAGATGTCTAAATTAAATTATGTTCTTGTTTTCCAGAAAATAGAGGCTGTCGAAAGGGTTTCAAACCGTGTTCTAATCGGCGCTGTATTTCGCGTAGCAAAGTATGCGATGGTATGAACGACTGTGGTGACAACTCTGATGAATTTGATTGTAAAGGTAAATGGTGGTTACTACCAATACTGGTTACTAAGGTGATTTCAGACTGTTGCTCTATGAATATATACTTTGTGAAGAGAAGTAGTTAGAAAATGCAGTTATTTTTATTGGCATTACAAGAGTTGAGAATTTTTTTCATAATTTGAAAACGAGAGCAGCTGCATTCTGCTATCTTTGAGATCACGTGTTGGGGCTGATATCAACACTGAGTTTGGTTTACATCTACAGTGCTCTAGAAAGAGATTTTCTTTCTGTGGAAAATTTCAAATATAGTATTACTGCTTCTTCCATGAAGTGATACGTGAGGCAGTATCTTTGCCATCAATGGAAAGGATGGAAGTTACACTATTTCTTCTCTGCATCTGCTGCTGTTTCTTCTTTGAAGTAGATAATGTTTTCTTTCTTTGCTTCTCAGATGCATTGCAATGTGTATGTCCTTTATAAAATGTATCAGCATTGTTTTCTCTTTTATATTGATATTGTTTTTTCATTTTAAAACATGAATATTTATATTGTGCTTCTGTCAATGATTGAAAAGTAGCTAGCAGACAATGCAAATCCTTAGTTACAATCCAGAAAGATTGGAGGAGCAATTATGCCACCATACATAGATAAACCATAAGCAGCTCCAGCAGCTACTTTTCTGCAAGTACTACATGGCTTTTAAAACATCTGAAAACATCTGATTGTGGGTAGAGAGAAAAGTATGCCAGGAAGAATCCCCATGTGGTGTTAAATGAAAAATTTTGGAGATTCATAGATTGTCCTGCAAGGGCTTGTTTCCTCCTCACATAATGATTATCTCAAATTGAGTTGAATTGCCTAAAGAGAGATATCGAAGCTCAATAAAGAAATCAGAAATGTATTCTTTCAACCATATTAAGTCTTTTGAAGGAACAGCAGGTTCTGAATGCACCATTCTAAAAGGTAGAAACTATAAACATAATAATTATAATATGCATCTGAAATGTTTATTACATTAATTTGTATCTTTTTTTTACCCATATGCTATAGATTCAGCATGTGCTTCAACAGAATTCCGTTGTGCAGATGGGACTTGCATTGGAAAATCAGCACAGTGCAACCAGATCATTGATTGTGCAGATGCTTTGGATGAAAAGAATTGTAGTAAGTTTGTATTTGTCTGTGCTTCATCTTAGCATCTGTTTCATGATTATTCCTTGTTCTATAGCAGATCATTCATAGTCATTGGGTAACAACAGTTGCATTGTCTGTGCAAATTCAAGATAAATGTGAAAACCAAGCAGTAAAACTTTGAATCTGTATTGGGTGTGATTTATTGTCTCCTTCCAGATAATACAAACTGTGCTTACTTCTATAAACTTGGAATTAAATCTACTGGATTTATTAGCTGTAATTCCACTTCACTTTGTATACTGCCAGAATGGATATGTGATGGATCTAATGACTGTGGAGATTATACAGATGAACTAAAATGCCCAGGTAACTGTCAAAAAGAAAACTGAAGGTTTTAAATTACATTTCTGGAAAAATATTTTCCTGTTTCTTGGTTTTTTTTTTTTTTTTTTTTTTTAAGGTAGAAAATATTTCTTTGGTCAATTCATAATATTTAACATAGATATAAGTATAATGTTAGTGAAGCTTTTTTTACTAGTCTTTGTGTTTCATTAGGTGATGCAAATTTTTACTAATTAATGCATTTCTCTAAAGACAAGTGTAATGCCTAGCTTCATGTTTCATCCAAGTTAGGTCTGTCATTATTCATTTGCATTTGATTAGAACATTAGTCACAAAATATCAAGCTCCAACATCAAATCAAGGAGCTGTTTCAGTGGATGGCATTTCTTTCCTCTCTGATATATCTATCTATGTATCTATCTATCTATCTCTCTCTATATATATTATATTTATTATTATTATTTTAAAACTTTGTCATTTGTTTTGTTGAGGTACTTAGTGTAGACTGCCAGGGTAGAATCCAGCACTGTTGCTTTTGCATTTGTTCTACTTGTGAGTCAGTAGAAAAAGATTATGGTACACTTACGTCCTAGTTCCTGAGGTGCTAGGCTTCTAGAAAATGGAGATGTATTTACTGCTGGAACTTGGGTTGTTTTTTCTGTAGAAATCTACAGCTTGTAAGAAGGAAGAAGCAAATATATTTTACAGTTTAAAGAGTTTTATTATTCCAAATTTTCATCTGAATTTTTCATGATAAGTCAGAAAGCTCACATATCAGAAACATACTTTTTCATGGAATATGTATGTGTAATAAAAATTTGAAGGACAGCTCTTCAATGACATTTTGTTAAGCCGTTTTTAACAGAATGACTGTAGTGTTAGTGAACCTCAGAAGATAACAAACTATTCAGTGTTGAAATTGATTTATCCTCTGTGCCTATGTAGTAATGTTGAAGAGAAAGACACCACATGCAGGAATATAGTGCTTTTCTGAAAGTTGTTTCTGGAGACTTGAGAAATACTCAGTATCTCTTAAACACAGTTTCAGCATCATTTTTATTTTGTTTCATAAGTTGTATGGCTTACCCTGAATTCTGAAGTATTACAGAAAAACAAAATCACAGTGATGTGATTTGTAGAATTAGGCTAATACTATCAATTTCTGGTCAAATTGGAGATATTGTACTAGTAAAGAAACTCTGTAGATATCAAGCTTATGACAACTGTCCTGTGCCATGAATTTTAAACAAAAATTTGTAGAACTAAAAATTAGTCGTATTTTTTTTTTGCCCATAGTATTCTTCTAATCTTCCAGAAATTCATTAATCTTTTAATTTCAACTTTACATGTGTTCCAGTTTTTCTTCCTATGCTGATAAGGATCGTGTAATCTTTGAGTAATTGTATCCTAAATCTTTGCATGCAATGGGAGCCAGTGAGCTAAGGCATTTTAGAAATCTTCCTTTGACTACAGTGTATCTGCTCATGCTGTCTTAGTCTTCTGGTTTTGCATTTCCCTAGAATATACCAAGCCAGTATCCAGTGCAGTAGATGAAAACTATTCTTTTTATGCACTTGAAAATTGCATTTCCATTTGTTCTAATAATTGACTCCCATGTGACTGTAACTATCTTATGTGGCCAGTATCTCTTTTTTTTCTGAGGATTACTGTTTGTAAAAATAAAACTTTGAATTTTACATTATTGAGTACTACCTAATTGTTGCTAGCCTAGTAATTAACATCTTCTGATTATTCCTGTTTAGTATTCTGTTTGTCTGTGTAATTATCCATTGTGTCATCAAGACCTCCTATTAGAATTCTAATTTACTTTGTGCCAAATTTATTGATGAAAAAATTACAAAGATCCAGAAGATAACTTGGAACTTTAGCACAAACATCAATTAAACCAGTTATTAAGAACTTTTGTCCTTGCTGTAGGCAGATGCGTGTTAAATTATAGTTTCCTTTCCAAACTCCATATTTTCCAGATTATCTAATTATTCTTTAGAATTAGCTATGTTTGAGCTCAAAATAGCTTAGAATTGCTTTATTTCCTTTGTTTGTAGGGCTTTTGCCATCCCAAAGAAGATTTTCAGGCTACTATGATATAGCTTCAGTAAACTAATGTTGCATAAGTAAACTAATGTTGCATTTTATTCCATTGTCCATTTATTTGTGTTACTTTATTCTATCTTTCCAAATGTGTACCAAAACGTTCCATCATGTTAATGTGTGACTAATTGCCTGGATCATCCCTTTATTTGAAAGCAATACCATTCCAGTTCAACCCGCTTGTGATTTCCTTTGCTATCTCATTCAAAACTGCCTGCCTCTGGCACATTAAGTTTCTGAGTGTTGTTTCTGTTATGAATATGATAATTCCCATTGACAGTCTTAACTTTGTTCAGTGCCATTGTTCTTAGAGAAAAATAAGGAAAAATATCCATGTAGGGGTGGTTGTACTTAGGCAATCTTCAATCTCTACCGAGCAATTATAGACATCCTTATTTCTTCTTTTGTGCTTTTTTAATACTCATGTAGTTGAATAACACATAAATATCATAACTTTATTATTATTAAGAGAAAATAGAGGGGAAAAGCACTAACCAAAGAACAATATAAATAGCCCTGTTACATTAAAGAGGTAATAGAAACTTAAGCAGAGAGTTGTAGTGATCTTCAGTGCTCAAAATGAGGAGATACTGCTTGGGTTTTCACAGGCCAAAAGTTTGCTTGAAATTTTGAAAATGATCTTTGCCACTCATTAGACTAATATTTCTTCTTATGTCTTGAAACTGTGAATATTATATTCTCTTTCCTCATGTCTGTAAAGTAGATCTTAAAAAACTTTGACACTATACAAATAAAGCATGGAAGCATGCTTTTCATTCATGACAATCTAAATCCGTGGCTCCAATGTTGGTGATAAAATTTGGTGGCAACAGTCACTACATGCAGCAGATTTATTGCTTATCTCAATGAATGTGACAAAAATACTGCCCTAATTAGGTTATCTTGTTGATACTGGAGGATAGATCAAAAGGGCAGTTTCTTCAGCTGGTGTAAAATGACAAGCAGTTTTGATTTACCATACATAAAATATTGTAAACTGAATTCCCTTTCCACTGTAGGTCTTTTTAATCGATGTTGTTCCTGTGTAAATAAATGAAGTGTTTCAGCTTCCTACACTTAGTTATCACTATTTTCTAATTTGTATGGACACAGTTAAATAATATAAGCAATATATATTTTTTAATGTTTTTAAACCTTATCACTTTGTTGTCCATCAGTATTCAGAAATTTAGCAGAAATGTATTAGGTTCCTAATCATATTAGTAGAGACCATTTTACATTACATTCTTTATTTTGTCACAGTTCAAAACAAACCCACATGTGAAGAAAATTATTTTGGTTGTCCTAGTGGAAGATGTATTCTGAACACCTGGCTTTGTGATGGGCAGAAAGACTGCGAGGATGGAGTGGATGAATTGCACTGTGGTGAGCATTTAATCTGATTTTAGTTCTATTATCACCAACACATTTTCAAAATAAAATGTATGAATATATCTTAAAGACTGAATGTAAAGCTATACGAAAAAGGTCTCTCATGCAAAATTTTCAGACAGAAATCTTTACTTTCAGTATTTTATATCCTATCTTACACTAGAATGAAAGCACCATTGATATTTTCTTTTTTTCTCATAAAGAGACATTTTCACACAGGCTTTTCTGTTTCTTTAACATCTAACAGTTGCACCAATTCTTTATGATTCCTCACTAGAACATTTTTATAGATACAATCAGTTCTATTAATATTTTCTATCCATAGCAAAAAGTAAACAAAATAGACCTTTATAGCATAAAAGTAGACATTTCTTGCATCAGAGACCATATAGGTATAGCTATTTGGAGTAAGATCAAAGTTGTTGGGAATAAAATATAGCATAAATTGTTGAAAACTTTAAGGGTTCATTCCATCTCAGATCTCTTACGTTTCCTAAATTCTGCATAACTGAGGAGCAATACAGGTTGATTTTGCTCACAGTGAGAGCTGGCCTTTATATTTGTATGGGTTAATCGAACATACGATTTCCATAGTTCAGTTATAGTTGAACAGAAAAATGAATTTTTTTCAGAGATAAAGATGGGATTTTAGTCAATCTTTTTCCCCCTACTGACAACTCTTACCCATTTTGTTGAGGTAGTTGTTAAAATATTCTATTTTTGAATCAGAATAAATTAGTGGAAATTCTTTTTATTGCTAATACTTAAATCTGTTGTCACTAATTACAACAATATAAATTTTGTCCTTAAAGAGGGAAGTCTGCCTAAATTGCATTTTATAGCCATTTCTGAAAATATCACCATAATAGTATTTATTTAAAGTATTTCCACCATTTGATTTGGAAGCACTGAAATTTGCCATTATTTTCAACTTATACTAATATGCTACAACTAGGCAGACAGAAAGAACTAATGTGGAAATTTCTATGCTGAGAGTTTATTTGGATAAACTGCAGGGAGCACAGTGCTGTTTTGAACCTAAAAAACAAAGTGGCTGGTGTCATTCCTAGATTCATCCTGCTCGTGGAATCAGTTTGCTTGTTCTGCAGACAAGTGCATCTCTAAGCAATGGACTTGTGATGGTGAGGATGACTGTGGAAATGGCTTAGATGAGAGTGATGCTATTTGTGGTAAGTAGAATAATTTTAGCTCTGTGTCGTGTGAGACCGTCTGTACAAAAAGAGTCCAAGGGGATCCACGAAGGTAGCAGGAAGGGAGCAAGTATAGCAAGTATATTTCACTAAGAAGATTAAGTGATGGATTGAGCAATTCAAAACAGAGTACAAATGAATGCTAGGGTATAATATTTTGTTAAGGCAAAATCCTGTTAAAAAAAAAAAAAAAAACAAATATCTAGTCAAGCAGTATGTTGAGTTACTTGATTTGGAATTGTTGGAGATTTTCTTTCTCCCACTACTATAACATGTGGTACGTATTCTTATAGGTTCTCTTCTAGGTATATGGGGCTGATGTGTGCAAGTTCTGAATATCTTTAACCTCTTGCTATACAGTGTAGTTAGGATTGTGTGACTTATGAGTGTAGTTCCTTTATTCACACAGTCCCAACGTAAAGCCCAGAATTGGTATGTAAAGTTATTCTGTTGGAGAGTTTTCATAAATGGTGTTAAATTAAATTTCCTTACACTAAATTCAGAGAATGAGTAAGTGTGAGATGTAATAGATTGCCAACATTTTATTGTAAAACATAAGCTAGCCTGTATATTTGCCATACTGCACCAAGAACAATTTTCTTTGCAACCACTCATTATTTTTTCAGGTTCAGTGACGTGTGCTGCGGGGACATTCAGTTGCCTAGGCTCCCATGCCTGTGTTCCTCAGCACTGGCTTTGTGATGGTGAAAGAGACTGTCCAAATGGAAGTGATGAACTCTCTACAGCAGGCTGTGGTATGTTTGCATGTGGTATTTCTTTGCTTGGCACTTTCGCCTTTAAAATATCCAGACGTTGTTTATTTCTATAGAGTCATACTTCTATATTGTCAATTGTTAGTACAACCACATGGAGCACACATAGCAGGATCCTTAAATGTTTTAATCAGCCTGACGTCTTCAGATTTTGTTAATATATGCTGATGCACACCAGCTGAAAAGTGTGTCACGTCACACATATTGCACAGCGTGTTTACTAATGAAAATTAGCAGATTGTTGACTACAGTACACTTCCTGAAGAAAATGCTGCTGCATGTGAGAGAAGTTGTACATCATAAACAGAGAGACAGTATCTCCCCCAGTTTCTTCTCCCTAATGGTTCAGATGCCAACATCTCCCACTCTGCAAACTATTGCTTTCAGTCTTCTCAGACTTGTTGTGTCAAATGCTCAGTAATAGTTTAATTAGGAGTTTTGTTTTATAACTGTATACAAAAAAACGTATAGATTAAAATTACTGAAATAATGTCTCTTCACTGAATCCATATTGTGATAAATTGTTTTTTGGTTGAGATATATTTTGTGTGTTTGTGGTTTTTAGAGAGCTTCTGTGGGAGTGGGAAGAAAATCTGTATTTTCCAAACTTGGCTTCTCAGAAGCCTACCTTAAGTTGTAGACAGCATCAACTTCTGAAATTTTTTTGTGTTGGATTATATGAGAAGCCAGCTACCTTTACTTTTTCATTCATCACTATTAAGATGCATACATTCTTCTGCCACTTATTTCTGTAATGATTTGCATAAGAAGCAAGTTATTTACACTGAATACACTGCAGCTAACTGCTTGTCATTCTTCTGTAAGAAAATTTGTCTGTCTTATTCTTTCCAATTTCATCTGTGTTTTATGTACTTTATTCTCTTTAGCTCCTAATAATACTTGTGATGAGAATGCTTTCACGTGCCATAACAACATCTGCATTCCAAAACAGTTTGTATGTGACCATGATGATGACTGTGGAGATGGATCAGATGAATCACTGGAATGTGGCAAGTATAATAAAAGTAGAGAAAAAAGAAAAGTTCTGAACTGTTAAATATAGGGCCTTCTGCAAGGTGTGTTACTTTAAAGTCACTATTGTGAAAGAAAGTGCTTTCATGCATTGATAAATTCAACTTGATGTTACAATTTTAACTTCAAATTTCTTAATTTTTATAGCTATTTCTCTTCTTTTTTGTGGAAGTCCTAGAAAATACATGCTTAAAATGGTTAAAATGATTATACACATTTCAAAGAGAAAGCTTGTGTGTTGTGAGAGTTCTGTAAAACTACTTGGTGGGTACAGTAATTTTTAAAATAGCTGTTGGAAAACTATTTCCTAATAATTAGGATAAAGTTACATTAATTATGGAAATAACTTAGGAAAATGTATTTAGGTTTATGTGAGAGCTGCATGACTACACTTTCCATTGGTGGTAATTGTTACAGGACTATACTGTGCTGCATAACACACATTTGATTTTTTTTTTTTCTTTCTTGGAAGATACTCGTGTTTAAGCATATATTGCTTAGTATCTATTAATGGAACGAAAGACAATCTTAATTTATTTTGTATATACAACATTATGTCAAAAGTGTTGAGCAAAGGATGAAATCGCTGATTACTGTACTTCTAGGATATCGTCGCTGTCATCCTGGAGAGTTCACTTGTGCTGATGGAAGATGTCTGTTAAACTCCCAGTGGCAATGTGATGGGGATTTTGACTGCCCAGACCATTCTGATGAAGCACCAATAAACAAAAAATGCAGAAGTTCAGGTCCGTATTTAATTGTTTTAGAACCTGTCTAACCATTCTTCTTGGGAAACAGTAGTTTGGGATTGTAGTTAGGCAAATGTGAAACTTCATATCTTAAATACACAGTGGTTTGCTGGTGTAATATGCCTTACCTTTGATAAACCATATATAATTGCTGAAACTTCAAACTTTAGGGAGTACATTAGGAGTTTCTGTTACCAGTCTCCCGACAGTTCTACTGAAGATCTTAATGTTATGAACATACAGAAGAGCTTTCAAATGATCTCAAAAACTGCAAATGAATTTTACAAACTGTGAAAGCCTTGGGATTTGTACGAGAAAGCCAGTGATACATGAATTTGTAGCTGTGTCTAACACTGCTCCCTGTTCAGCGATCTGATATTTTTCTAACCTAAGTCATTCGTTACGGGAGGGAAATTCCCTCAAGTTATCTTGTATTTCAGCTTTAGTTCTCCCTTTAATTTTTCCAAATCTAACTTTAAAATCTAATTATAAAAGTTCTCTGGAAGAAGTACAGAGAACTTTAATTAAATCTAGTTCTATGTGATAGTAAAAGTTCGGTGTTATTAGTGTAACTTTTTGTACTGCTGATTTGTATTACATGGGATAAATGATATGTAACATGTTTATTAGAATTCTAGTTTTCAGTACCTCACTTTAACTTGTTCTTTGTAATCTAAGAGAAATGGTCAGCTTCATAAATACGCTGACCAATTTTGACCAAGTTTGTTAAAGATGGGTTGCTTTTTGTTTTCCAAACAAAAGGGAAAAACAGATAGTAATGTCATCAGCAAAGGAGATGTTTTAGAATGTTCAGTCCTGTTACTAAACACTGCAGCACTCATGGGGGAAAGAAGCCTTGCTTTCTAAATCTTACAACAAATACATTTTGTGCAGAGACAAGTAGGAGTTTTCTCAATTAAAAGAAAACAAGTGTATAGGAGATCTCACACATTTTCCAGCAGAGGAATAAACCTTTAAAAAATAAAAAGAGTTCATATCACCACCGGTAAGGAGCTAATATTCAATTCTTACATAATTCTTTGCTCTTTCATGCTCACATTAGAGTTGGTCTGTGAGAAAATTAATTCCAAATACTAGTAAACTACACAAAGCTGTGTCCCCTTTTTATTTTCCAGAGCAGTCATGTAACAGCTCTTCCTTCATGTGCAAAAATGGCAAGTGTATTCCTCAGACTAATGTTTGTAATAACAAAGAAGATTGTAGCGATGGCTCTGATGAGAAAAGCTGCCACATTAATGAGTGCCTCAGTAAGAAAGTTAGTGGCTGCTCACAGGATTGTCAGGATCTTCCTGTTGGATACAAGGTGTGTATCTATAAAATATGGTGTAATATAATGTCAACTCTTAACTGTTTCTTAACTATTCCATGGTTGTAATAAAACTCTACTGTGTTACCTCCTTGTGATGAAGTGTCTTACCTTCAGAGTTCTTGTTCATATTACTGTATCTGCTAAACAGATTTTTAGAGGTTATCAGCACTTCAAAATATTCATAGAATCATAGAATGGTTTGGGTTGGAAGGGACCTTTCAGACCATCTAGTTCCAACCCCCTGCATAGGCAGGGACACCTCCCTCTAGCCCTCTAAGTTGCTCACAGCCCCATCCAGCCTGGCCTTGAGTCCTTCCAGGGAGGGGGTATTCACAACCTTGCTGGGCAAAAATAATAAAAATTTATATGTAGACCTCACCAAATAAACACATGTGCAATTGAAAATAAGGAATGCCAAATAGGGTTCATTGTTTATGTGAACAAATCCTTTTCATATTCTTGAGAAGATATCCTTTTCTTCACTTAAAGAAAGAAGAATCATTCATCATTCTTATGGAAGGGTTATTTGAGAGGGAATTACATTTATGATCACACCACCAGTAGAGAGGAAATGTACTTTTATCTGTCTGCTAACAGTATGAATAGCAATGCAATTAGAATATTACCACAAAACTGAGGATACTTGAACTTTATGATGCTAACATGTTCAGGAGATAATAAAAAGAGTCAGCAAGTAATTCAAAATGAATGCATTTGTTTGGGTGTTTTTTCCAGTGCAAATGCTGGCCTGGATTTCAGCTGAAGGATGATGGCAAAACATGTACAGATATTGATGAATGTTCATCTGGATTTCCCTGTAGCCAGCAATGCATCAATACATATGGAACGTACAAGTGCTTGTGTGCTGATGGGTATGAAATACAGCCTGATAACCTAAATGGCTGCAAATCCCTTTCAGGTATTGCTTTTTTTTAACCTGTGGTTGTAATTTGTGATATTCCTTATCTCCCAGGTGTGTTCTGCTTGTCTTTTGTGCAAGATAAGCAGTTACTTCAAAGTACATCACTTCAACAAATAGTAGGAAAGTAATAAGTTTTATTTTGAGTGTGTATTGTACTCAAAGCATTTTTGGTGAATTGTTACAATGGATTATGATAGTTTGAATTATTATTTTTACTAGAAAAATTATCAGTTTCAAAAAAATCACTAAATTTCACTTCTTAATAACTTATAGCATTATGTTTATGTAAAAGACTTCTGATGTTTTATTTCATCTACTTTAAATTACTAAACTGCACTTGAAAGCTCCCAGTTTATTTAATGAGTACATGGCAAAAAAACAAAAACAGGAAAGTATAACAGAAATTGCAAAATCTATTATTCCTGGAGCATATAGAATTCTCCACTTGAATATGCAATAAACAGTAAAATTCAAATTATATTTATAATGGTGTTTATTTCTTCACACCTCTCTCCATGCCCCTGATATTTTTGTATACTTCAGTCAGTGGGATTCATTAGATCAGTGAAAGGAAGAGCAAAATGTTAACAGAAAAGAAACAGAAATCCATTCGTGTTTTCTGCTGGGTTTTGTTCATAGTATAGACCATTTCCAACTCTAGCAGATTCCTACTTCTTCCAGCTTTGCAAAAAAAAGTAGTCATTTTGTTAGTTGGTTCTTATTTTTGCTTTACTTTTTATCAAAACCATCTAGTTTCTTTCTAAATGCTGTGAAACAGGGTTATCTGTTTCCCTTGTGTTCATAGGAACATAGAATTATTGAATCCTTAGGGTAGGGTTGTAAGGGAACTTCAAAGGTCATGTAGTTCTAGTTAATGTCCAAGTGCTTCCCTGAGTAATCAGAGAGAGCACAGGATGAGATGGAGATGGAGGATGAAATTTTTACCTTCCTCCTACCTCAAGCTACTCATACAGTGAAAAGCTATAGATTGCTCAACCGAGAGGCGGATATAGAACACAGAATGGGATAGTTGTGTACTGGAGTTGTAACATGGTGGACTTGAAAAGTAATAATGAAAAAGCTGTTTATGCTGTAGCAACGATGGTTGTGTAGAGAGGAGCTGCCGACATGTGAATGTGTAATTTCTTGCATAAGTTGCCTTGAGGACTTCACAACAGAGCAGAGCCTTGGCAGGCTTTCTCCACAACCCACCAACAGTCTGTGCTGAGGGTGATACCACAGTTCTGTTATGAAATGAAGAATGTCTTAGGAGTTAAGCATGTGGGTAAGGTGGGATAAGGTATTTCGAGCAAGAGCAGAGCAGGATGGACAGCACGTAACATCTCAATCATAATATCTAAGTTGTAGATGCAAGTCTTAAATATGCTTCCTATTAGTATTTATTGGTACATCTGTCTGTTAATAGAGCAAAAATAAAACACTCTTTTTTCCTTAATTTTTATTACTACATATGCCAGTTTCAGGGATGTTTCAAAGTGATAGCATAATTGAGTATCTGAAGGAATATTGTTTAATAAACTAGAAATCTGGGTTAAAAAAAAAGCCAAATCTGGCTTGAGTTCAGAATTGGAAAACCACATTATGTCCATATAGCTCTGTTTAGTTATGTGTAGAATGTTTAGGGTATTGAGGTCTCAAACAACTATGTTCAAAATGTGTTTGCTTTGCAACAGAAAAATACCATAGTATCTTAGTGATCATTTGAAAGTGTTCAAATTAAGACAAGTGGCATGAAATTCATTTCAAATTTAATCTCTGGCATTAAATTAGCATAAAATACAGTATGGTTCCCATATTACAAATGCAAAAAAAATAAATTACGTTCAGAGATGTACTAATTGATTGCCTGGTTCATTTTTATACTGCATCATTGATCTTTCTTGGAACATTTGAATGTTTTAAATATTTCTTTCATCCATAACATTGATCAGAGCATGTAACATTTATTTTTCAAACCATCTGTATTTCAGCATTGTATTCCTGATTTTTCCATAAATTAACGTAAAAGCTAGTCTAATATATTCTTTCTCCCGGGGTTTAGATGAGGAGCCTTTCTTAATTCTGGCTGATCATCATGAAATAAGAAAAATTAGCACTGATGGATCCAACTACACTTTGTTGAAACAGGTATAATCATAGTCCATGCTCTAAGTTTAACTCCGTACTTTTATTCTTATTTAATGTATGCAACTGACAGGGATATCATCCTCCAATTGGCACTGTATGCAACACAGAACAACTGCAATGCCTTTACAGTTTGGAAAAAAAAATTTAAATTGACTATCTTATTTGAGTTTGTAATGAATAAGGCTCAGGCAGTTGTTTTGTCAGTCATTCTGATTGTATCAAAAATTGGTATTTGTGGTCCTCTTCCACTGCAATGTGTTTTGAACAATTTTTATATTTTCTTTTCCAAGTATGTTCACGCATATATGGCCATGTATTGTTTAGGCTGATTACTGTCAGAATCCAAATCTGTTTTTTTTTATTTAGATAAACACAATTCCAATATTTGCAGTATTACAATGCATGAACATGTATCCTTGGCTAAACCTGATTTTTTTGTGTAATTGTTTTAAATTATTATGAAAAAAAAAAAAAAAACAAAACACAACTATTTGAAAATATCTACCAAAATAGTTACCCAGTTGCCTAGTAAGTACAGAGCTATCAATTTAGCAGTTTCTGCTCTGCTTCTATGCTTCACCTAAGTGTAGTTACTTACCACAGATTGGAGTCCCAAAATATGTTTTAAGGAAAGCATCTATTTTCTTGAGTATTAATATAATAATTGAAACAGACTAGAAAATCAGTTGTGCCAGTCAATAGCATTAGGCTCTTTATGACTTCTTGTGTCAGTAAGCTGTGCATCTTAATGTCACAAGAGAGGTGTTGAGGTTTTCAGAACAGTAATTGCACAATTAATCACCTTGCATAAATCATTTGAATTTATTTAAGCATAGCAAGCATTTTGTCTGTTTGTTCTTCTGAAATCCTTCTGGCTTCTCATTTGCATCTCACTGACTCTCCTCTTTTGCTGGTATATCTATTGCTAGCAGCCTGTGAAAAGAGGGGAGCAACAGTCAATTTTCTTTATGGTTGGTGCTGACAGATTGGCTCAGCGCTTTATCAGTCTTGAATTTAATGAACTCCTTTTTAACTGCATTAGGAGCAACATAGCTCCAGCCATTGAAGAGAATCTGTGATTTCCGTATCATATCAATTTACTAGTCTAATATATACTTCAATTTTTGAAGCCTTTGATCTCAAATGTAAGCCATTTTTGAAAATATACAGATTTGAAAGCTGAAGTGGGAGCTATACCAGCATAACAGGTGAGCTGTCCTCCTCACAAGGACATCTTTTTGTCCCTGTATTGGTATGATGAATCAGCTCTAACCCTTTCTTAGGTATCTGCCAGATGAAGGCAAATACCAGAGCTCCTCTGGCAAAGGAGCAAAACCCACCATCTCTGTGCATTTGATCTGTGCTTTGTCATTCTAACAGTTGCTCATATAAACTCAGAGTGGAGGAGCTGAAAGGAGGAGTTTGTTCAGTCTTCTCTGAGTTGTTACGCATCAGCCTCTTACTCTCATTTTTTTCATCCAAATATACGTGAACAGGTCAACTGTTTGGATTATATTTCACATATATTCTTTGCCTTCCATTTCCTTCACTCGTAGTCATCAAAATCCATAGGCAAAGTAGATACTCCTCATTATTAGTAATTTACTTACTATTTACCTCCTTTATTTTTGCAATTGGGGCACCAAGGTGACTACAAATTTTGGACTAGAATATGGTGTGTTACATGTAACAGATGACAGCTGATGTCATCTAAAAGTTTCACCATTTCTTCTAAAATCAGTCTAGACAAAAAAAATAAAAAAAAAAATACTGAAAGGAGGCCTTTAAAGAGCTATCCAGAGCAGGAAGACGAGATGTGGTCAGGACAGGGAACTCTGTTGCAAATAGATAGAAACAATTCTACTTGCAGTTGGTTTTATGAAAAGTTTTGGAACTAAGCTGATCCAAAAGAAAATATTTGCAGCCATAGACTTGAAGGCAGACAAATTCAACTATTAGCCTTGTTACTTCAGAAATGCACACAGTATTTTAAAAGGTGTAAAGCTTATTTTTCAGAAGCTACTGACTTTGATTTCTAGAATGTTATAGATTTTTGATAGACTTTTGTATTCATTCATTTGTGGTCTCCTTTGTTAAGAACTCGGAGTGGGGCTTTATCTATAGGTGCACGTGCACCAGTAGTAGGAAAAGAGAGATCCATTGTTTTGCAGCATGATTACAACTGACAGAAGTGCAGCCAGTTTTATGTACTAAAACTCTGCATGCATGGACGTGTGATTATTTGAAAATGAGCGGTCCTTCAACACTGCTTTGTTTCTGGCTTTCTTTACTGATCTTTTATGCTGCCTGATCACTTTTTTTCCTCTGTGTTTTGCTCAAAAGGTAGATTTAACTTATTACACTGTGTTTTGCAGATAAGCTACATATCACTTTCTAGGCAATTAAATATTGTTCTTTGTTGTTAGCTAGTCTGCAGCATTCCCTCTGCAGCTATGAATTTCATTAACAAGGGAGGTTGCTATATACCTGAGAATAGAAGGTCATTGGGGTGATAACAGAACTGATGAACTGATTTTCTGGTTTTAAAAGTGCAAGCTGCATCTCTTCTTTTTACTGTTGCTGTTTCATCATTGATTGATAACAACATCTTTGTATAATATTAACTGTGATTTCACTACAAGTCAGTATGTTAAGCAGATTATAAGGCAAGGCTTTTTTATTTTCAGATAAGGAAATGAGGGTCATCATTTGAAAATAATACCTCTGTTTCTTATCTGTTATTTGGGATGAAAAGCCACCATTACACAATTACTACTCTTTCCAGCCTATAGGATTACCTCAGCTATGATCACCACTCTTTGATGTATTGGCTTGGTAACTGGAGTCACAAGAGACATCCAAATGCCTGCCAAATCTCTAACTTTTATACTTTTTGCACAAACTACAAATATACGTATGCATGTGTGTTTTATAGTCTGACATCTGAGAACTTAAAACTTTCTTATTCTGGAATTAAAATTCACGCTTTTTGACATTACAGTTTCTAATTCCCAATTCATTTTTATCAATAATAAAAAGTAACTACTAAAGATGGTAAATGTTATGCTATTTCTGATGTTAGTGTCACAAAATGAATATCCCCTCATTTTCCAAAGAGCTGACATTTCCGTATAGAAGAATATTTTACATCCATTCTTTAGTGAAATAGTATTCAAGTGCCTAGATTAGATGGAAATGGTTGTGAGGTGGTTTTTTTTCCCCCTAGTTTGCCAAATAATGCTAAAAGTAGTAATTAACAAAAAGATTTAGCAAAGTATAAGTATTTACTGAAAAATTCTTTTTAATGTTAGGAACTGAAAATGTCATAGCTTCATTTAGTTTCAAGGCACCTGATTTTTTCGAGATGCAATAGTTATTTGTCACCACATTGCTTTCTGTTACAAGCTTTATCTTATTCTGATTGTTTAGAAGTAATGTACATTAAGGAGAGGTACTCAGAAATAGCAGTAAAATACAGCATTTTGATGACTATTATATGCTGCATAATTTGCATTCTGCATGTTATCAAATATTCTATATTCAAACTTACTTGAATAAGTGGACTTGATTTTATTTTATTTTTCCCTGTTTTTAGGGACTAAACAACGTGATTGCAATAGACTTTGACTATAGAGAAGAGTTCATCTACTGGATTGATTCCAGCAGACCCAATGGAAGTAGGATAAACAGAATGTGTTTGAATGGAAGTGACATCAAGGTAACTGCTGATTTATAATGTCAATATTAGAATTACTTTTTTCAGTATGTTGGGAAATTCATGGTGGTGACCTAAATTGTGAAATAAGGTAGGAGTATACCTACAATCTAGCAAGTTACAGTAAAATTGAAATGCACTTGGAACTTGTCTGACGTAGAAGTAGGGACTACGAGGACTGCATTTATCAGCTAAGTTCTGTGTAACTTGACTTGACAGTTGACTCAATTTTTCCTTCAGTGGGGCTTACAGCAAGGCAAAGAAATAAAGATGTGTAAATGACTAAGATTGGTAAATGTATTGATCTATTATTTCTTTATATACAGTTTTCCTTGATTTTCAGGGTATGTTTCTCACTGAAGAGGGAATGAGACAGTGAAAATAACTCAATGTCTTTATGAATGAGCCTGAAAAAAAAACCAAAAAAAACCTGTGCCTCTCTATTTTGCTTCTATTTTGGAATAAGTTCACAAATCCACTATTAAGCATATATGTTTACATTTTTCTTGAAGTTGTATTATACACTAAGGAATTCTTCACTTCTCTTATATCTGACCTTTTTCTTAAACAAGGAACAAATGAGTGGTAACATACCCTGTGACTTTTGTTCACACTGGTACAGTATTCAGAGAGAAAATATTGATAATCAGTGCATTTAATTTTCATGAGAAAGTTTGTTTTTTCTATTTGAGTAATTTGACCCGGATTTAGCCTCAATAGATTATTGTAATTTTTGCTTTTTTAGGTAGTCCACAATACAGCTGTTCCCAATGCATTGGCTGTCGATTGGATTGGAAAGAATCTATATTGGTCTGATACTGAAAAGAGAATTATTGAAGTATCTAAAGTGAATGGCTTATACCCAACTGTCCTTGTGAGCAAAAGAGTGAAGTTTCCTAGAGATCTCTCCTTAGATCCACAAGCTGGGTATGAAGTGGTGATTCAAGGTTTTGTCATGTGTAGTTGTTTAGGTTGGGTGTTCTTGTTTTTTTTTGCCTTTTTATTTTTTTATTATTAAAAAAAAAAAAAAAAATTACAATATTTGTGGTAAGTTTGATTGTGTCAACATCTGTGTAGGATATAAAATTCACAGTCTGGGGCAGTACATCAAATTCCAAGTCATCAAGCCTAAGCAATTTAAATGCATTTTTTATTAGTTCATAGTGAGTTGCTTACAAGCTTATCTAACGTGAGGACTGTTGTTCAAACCCTGCACATTTGTTACAGGTAGTTGTAGAAAATCTCCAAAGCTATCTAGAAAATGGAAAGATCATAGAATAATTACCAGCATATTCTTGAAGTCAACTAAATTATGAACCATTACTTTTGCTTCTCTGAAGCAAGCAAATGTTGTTGGTTGTTGTTTTTTTTTTTTTAGATACTTGTACTGGATTGATTGCTGTGAGTATCCTCACATTGGTCGTATCGGTATGGATGGCTCCAGTCAAAGTGTTGTCATAGAAACACAAATATCTAGACCTATGGCACTTACAATAGATTATGTCAACCACAGACTGTATTGGGCTGATGAAAATCACATTGAATTTTCAGATATGGACGGATCTCATAGACATAAAGGTTGGTCAAACTACGACATTTTCTTGATAGTTTGGTTATTTTCAAATTGCTGCTTTGTTACTTAGAAAGACTGGATTGTGAAATGTTTGTTGCAATCTTTTTTATATATTTTCCTTTTTTACCAGCATGTTAAGAGCTGCTTTTCATATTCATTTCCTATTGTGAATAGAAATAATTTTTAAACACCGTTCAAATATGTTCAAAGAAGAAAAGTCAAATGAATCAAAAACTTTAGGAATAGACTCATCAGAATTGACTGCTCTACTGATTCTGTATCAAGAGTATACTTGTTACGTGTGTTTTTGACCAAGTTAAAAATTTGAGTGTTGAAAGTGGAAGGGAGGTTTCCTGATTTCCATGTATTACAGTGTGGCTAAAAGCAGCCTTTTTTCCAGCCTGGGAAAGCCTGGAAAGTTTGCTCAGCACAAGTCATTGAGCAGACTAGTATTAGAAGTGTAATTTGGGCCTTTCTTGGTAGGTAGATAGAATAATAACTTCTGAAATACTTGTATAATGAGCTAATTTTTATTCTTGTGTTCAGCTTCTTACCTAACAGGTAATTAAAAAGCTAGTATCTTTTACCTGTAAAGTTTTTTAAAAGATGTTTCATACTGTGATGAGTTCTTCTCGTATTCAACGTGCTATAATTATGGTATAATCTTACACATTAATTCAAATGTATGGAATACTTAGTATTATTTTTGAGGGTTTTTTCTGCTCAGATGAAACCATTACTTGAGCTCCCTTCCACAAGCATTACCCAAGCTTTGGAACTGCTGTTATCCTGGTAAAACTCATCTATTTGGGGGCTTTTATCTTTTAGTCAGTGCTTCCGGGTTTTCTCTGAGCCAGACTTCATGAGATGGCTACTTTATTTCCAAACTGGAAATTTACTCTGAGATGAAAAATAGGAGAAAGATTGTCTAGTCCTTGTGCTCAAGAAGAGCAAGTTACAAATAGGGAAAGAAAAATTTTATGACAGCTTCTTGAAATGCTGGATTGCAGAGAGTACAGAAATAACTATGAGAGCTGTAAACATTCCTGTTGGTCTTGATAGCAATCAAGGATGGTTTGATGGTGCTAACCTGATTAGCTAAGCAATACTTGTCCAAACATCCTCTGTCTTCAGGCTAACAGTCTATTTTTCTGACAGAGTAAACAAGGCTCCATACTCTTGAAGTTATTCCATGTGCTGCTATCCTGCTATGTAATTGTTGTACAATTATCCTCTTATACTTCATGTATCTTTCAAGGGAAAGAAATAAGTAATGGCCACACCTAACAGGCAGGTATCACATCTTTCTCAGTTTTCTCTTTCAGCCTGTGTTTCAGAACTTTTCTTTCTCAGTAAATATCCAGTTGATTTCAGGAGATACCAACAAAATTCCAGCTATGCTGTCTTTTGGTGTCCCTGTGATTTTCCCTTGCCCAAATGGATGCAATCAACATCACTTGCTTTTATATTCACAGAGTTAACCTCTTCCCCAGAAGGTACATGAACCCAAATTTGTGACAAATACAGCTGGTGACAGCATAGATCAGCTTCACTTCTAGCAACACCATCACCAGTTTTAAACAGCTGAATGCATTTATGCATTCTTAAGGGGGAGAGTGTCTGACTCCCTGAGTATTACAGTGAAAGTGGTAGAAGTCAAGTCTTTCTGGACTGTCCATAGGATGTTAAGCCTGGTAGTTTTATCATGTCCACTTAGGAATGAAAATTGATGAAAAATTTTGTCCTAGATTACTGAGGCACACTCCGTGAGTGACTGTGACTTTGTGTCAAACTTGTAAGTATATGGTTGTTATAGATGGTATATGAAAGAGTCAAGAAAGAATAAACTTTCTTTGTAGGAGAGATCCTGTAGTATTTATATGATGTGGGGGGGAAATTTTCTCCTTCAGTAAAAATGTTTGTCACTTTCTGTTATCAGATGCTTCTCTAAAAAAACTACAACTATCAAATCAAAATCAAGTTGTAGAAACTTTTATTGTGGATTTAACATAGGGTGGGATTCTTGGCACCTGAAATGGATCAACAATATCTGTAGGCGCTCCAAAGGGTGCTTTGAGAGTTCTGTAGATCTACACCATATAATGATCAATTTATGTTTAATCAGAATCTTTTCCTCCCTTTTCCACATAAATGTTTCATGTCTTTGTGCTTCTAAACAGAAATAGGAACAATTCTGGAAGATAAAATTTAACCATCACAAATTAATTGTCTGAATAAGGGAAACTCGACAAAGTTCAGAGACTGACTTTTAAAGGAAGTAAAACATAGTGATCCCTTCTAGCTTTTTAATACAATAAACTGTAGTTGCTGTCAATAAGCACTTAAAATAAGAAAACTGGGTTTCATGGCTTGCAATGACTGTGTCCCTTGAAGACATATTGTTCACATGGATTTCATGGTCTGTTTTTCTTCTGTCATTCTAAAGCACTTTTTATTGTGAAGGTGAACTAATGGGTGCTTGAGCTTTTTCTATGATCCATACTTTCAAATGCAGAAAAAGGGTAACAGCACAAGTAGATGGGCACAAATACATGCTCACAGAGCTGACAAATGTCTAAACGGGTAGTGTGAGCAATGCAGTCTGAAGTGCCAGTTATTGTAAGCTAAGTTGTTGGGGTTTGTTTTCCTACCATTTTATATGCCTTTTGAGGATACAGCTATCTTAGTGTGAGGTTTTTTGTTTGTTTTGTTGTTGTTCTGAGAATACGTTGTGTTGATCTGAAATTGCTCGTTACAGAATGTGTGAGGAAAAAGTCACGGTGACTCCGCAAGATAAATCTCTTGGTGGAATGGGTGAATCTTAACACATTGTGAAGAGATGTTTGCAGTTTTAAGTGCTTTGTGCTAGAAACTTCTTAAGGATGAACAGGACAATATTAGGCTTTTGAAACAATGTGTGTTAAACTAAACACTGTTTTTGCATGCAGCTGCTATTTCCTTGTATGTTGGAAATTTAGGTTCTTACTTGTAACATTTTTTTTTTAAATTTTTTTTCAGGAAAAGGGAATATTTGCTGCTATTCTTTTGTAAAATTCCTCAGAATTTCAATAGAGAACTGAGCTTTTATAATTGTCAAGAGAGTCCTAGTAAGAACTTGGAAAACATGCTAACTAGGCCAGAAATCTTACACTACTTGGGAGCTCTTCTTGGCACGAGGGACAGAAATGACCTTGCTTATCTATTTGAAGTTTAATGTGTGATTATGTAAACAGTCTTTAGAGCTTAGTCACAAATGTTACGCGCAGTAAATGATTAAGCAAGCATTGAAGCACTAATCTGGCTAAGCACTAAGCTGTTTTACTTCTGTAAGCTTGAAGAAAAAAAGAAAAGCGTTTAAGAATTTGACAGACTTAACAGCTGCTTTTGGTTCCCTTTGCCCAAAGGAGATGGAAGCTTTGTCATTCCCTAACTATCTGATTGCCTCATGCAGGTTTTCCTATCCTTCCAAGGTCTGAATATACAGAGATGCCTACTATTTTTCAGTTTCACAATTAGAAGACAAAATTTCAGAATAATGAAACTACAGCAATTGAGTTTGATAGTCTGGCTGAGGAAGTAGAGAAACTCCTCTAAGCTAAGATTAGAATTTGACAGTGTCCAGTTGATCCATGTTTTATATTCTAAAAGCAAAAGTTTACCACTTCATTGCTTCATCATGGAGGGGCATAAAAATTAAGACTGAAGACTTGTTGAACCTTTAAATGAACTGAAAACTTGGAAGTGAATTTGGTAGCTGCAATGTAGTTATCAGAGAGAAGCTTTTTTCTATTGATTTGAAAAGTTCTTAAGAATTGGCTTCTACCTGGGTGTTCACAACTGAAGTATTATTTGAAAGTAATGATTAAAAGGCATTTGGAGATTATAGCACTCCTTTATTTCTTTGTAGCATCTGTAATTTCAAGAATTGCATGTTCAGGGGTAAAAAGAGAATATTTGTGTCTGATTCTAAACTATGCCATCTGAGTTTTATAGCAGGGTGGATCCAGTTATTCTTGGAATTGTCCTTGTGGAAAAAGTAGTGAAACAGATGAGATAACTAAATTCCTTCCAGATTTAAACTGTGGTTGCCACAGATGAAAAAATAGAAAAATCTGAAAATAAAACTTTTAACCTGGGATGACAGATAAACAGTAGTGCTAATATAGCAACTGATTTTTTTCCAGCTCTTTTGGCATCTATGGTTCTACTCATCAGAGCTGCATCTGATATTAGCACGAAGTTATAATTGTTTGACATCTGCTATTTGATTACAGATTTGGTGTTCATAATTGTTCAGATAAAATTCTCCAATTCATGTCTTCCTAAATCTGATTATTTTATTATACTGAACTTTTTACTTTAAGGCTACTGTTCAGGAAACATGACAGATTCCCCTATATTAAATTCACACATTTCCATTACTCTAAGTTTCCCCATTCTCCTGTTTATGGAGATCAGTTTATGATGATTGTCAGTTATTTGATTTCTGTATCTTCAACTGTTCTTGTGATGATTTGCCCAAATTTCATTAAATTATAAACCTCTGAAAATATTTTTTCTAAATATGCATTCAAGAATTAATGGGCATTTACTGATAATGTCTATGTTTCTGTATGGCTATATTGAATTCTGTAGTTAAAAATCCCAGATAGCGTTATTTTCATCTCTAAAATCTAACATACATTTCTATGCTTATATAAAAAATTTTCAAAAAATTCCAAAATTTTTAAGTTTGTATATGAACTGTAGTTCCAATGGATGTGCATTAAAATGTACAGCTGTTTAAATTCTCCATTAATGTGCTGGTCAAGTTCTGACCTTATGTTGGTCTGATGTAATTTTAGTGCTTTACAGAATATATCACTAATGGATTTGCAAGTAGGCATCTTGGGTAAATGTTTTCAAACAGGTGACGCAGGGAAATAACTACAACTCTAACCTGGCTTTATTCTTAATTTGCAGAAAGTCGATCATTTTCACAGTTCTTGCTAAAGAAAAGCAAGCAGTTAGTCTTGTTCTCTTATTTAAAAGTGCAATTCAAACCATAATGTATGCTGTGAGGGTAGTGATTAGCATTGTAACATGTAAGAAATGTATGTCATTTATGAAGAGGTAGACCAGCAGCTAAGTTTTCTAGATGTTAAAGTCTGGAAAAAAAGAAAAAAAATTGAGTGTTTCTTCTACTATATATGTTTATGATAAATCATTATTACCAGATGAGATTTTAGAAAGCTTAGAATACTGACATCCCTACAAGCACAGAACAAGCACAAGGGACTATCTTACTGTTGCACCATGAATGTAAGACAAATTCTTTTACAATTTTGTTGTGTTTTTTCTCAATCACAGTTTATGTGAAATATCACTTCTATAACCTAATTCTTGCACATCAACAGTGCTGATATTCCATTGTTTATATCAAATACTAAAGGAATTTTTGGATTCTGATGTATGCATAATCCATTTAAGCTAAAATTAATTGTACACCCAAATATTATCTGAATTTGTCTGTCTTCTCATGACAATCTACAAAGGCAAGTAAGCATTTTCTCATGTGTGTGTACTCAAGATAGGGCATTTATTTGTAATGAGTGAATAGCCAAAGAGAAGATGACTGCTACAGATATTTTTCATGAGAAGGGAGTACTACAGAAGACCAGATCAAGATAATTTTCTCATGTAAATCTTCATGTGTATTAAGGCTTTTACATGCCCACTTATTCTGGATTTATTCTTAACCGCGATCAGAGTAAGAGAATATAGACATATAAGAAAGCACATCTTTGAAAATATAGAAAAACTGGAATGGTATCTTTGGCATCTTCAATTTGACATCAAAAGTAGAATCAAGGGTCATAATTTGTACAAACAGTTGCATCTCTAGAACTTAAGTAAGATAGAGGCTTCATGGGTAAGGCAGTTCCTTGCAGCTTCTTCTGTCAGTACAGTTTGTATTTCAAATTAGAAGATGTACTTTACGATCGGTGGGGAATACAACCCTGTGACTCAGGGGCTACAAGAAAATTTTCCATAGTAAATATTTACAGTCTACCTAAAATTTTAGAAAACGCTGAGTTTATTGTACTTAAGTCTCAGTATATAAAGGCAGAATGGTAAATTGTGCCCAGATTTACTCATAATCACATAACAAATATCATAGCACAATGAAGTAGCTGAAAGACTTAAGTGAAGTAACTGCCTGAGGAGAGCAGCCACGGAGTAGTCCAATTCTTCTTACTAGATAGTGTTTGAAAGTAAAAGCTATTTCTTCCCCATAGCACGCATACGCACAGGTTTTGATGAACTCATCATTCAGAGTTATAATTTCCTTCATCCAAATGACATTAATGTGTAAATTCTGCACTTCCTTAATTAATTACAGTAATCTGGTCATAAGCATAGGATATGATAATTAGTATTCCCAATTAATAATTATGCTGAGGCGCTTTAAACATCATTCATTTTTTAATTTAAAACTAGTGAAATGTCCCTTTGCTGAAACAGTATTAAGCTTAACTCAGCAATATAAAGATGTATGCAAAGTTTGAAGACTCTCTCTAGAAGCTTCAAGGAAAATCTTAAGTGAAAAAATCTTATGTTAAATGAAATAACATAAAGGACAGCAATGACCAGCATTTGACTTCTTAGTCTCTGTTGTGGCTAGATGCGGGGTAACGTGTTTATTCCACTGTTTTTGTTGCTGGATATACCATACTGGTATACACCATACTGTGAAGATGTGTATTGCTGTCTAATCTGCAGATAATTCTCCCCACCAAAGGAGTTGTTCAGTTCACTCCAGAGCAGGGTAGAGATAAAATTAATATGCAAGCAGCCGGTGCAATTGGGTGATAAGCATATAGATTTTTTTCAGTGGACAGGCAAACTGTTCCAGGTGTTGGATGTTTTCCAAGGTCTGGAATGTTTTTCTTGTAGCATATTTTATCGGTGCTCTTCATTAGAAAATATCAGACTTAGGAAAATAATGGAGATGCCTGTACTTACATGTTTTATTCTTCCTTTCTTGTATTTGTTTGGCTTGTTACTTTGATGATAAAACTAAGAATAATAGTACTTCAAGAACTCTTTATTTCATTGCTAACAAGAAAAACTTAGCAGGAATTGACATTGAGAATGATTCATTTCTGTTTTGTAGATGCCCTTTTCACAACATTTCTGCATATAAGGAAAGCTTTTCTTGAGGGTACCGAAATATTTAGGAATCCATGCCAACGTTCCATATGACATAAATGCCAAAATTGACTTTTCTTTTGTATGATTGCACTTTCACTCATTTTTCAGAAATGTGAAGCTCCTTTAAAAAAAAAAAAAAAAAATCCTGTTCTTTCTGTTGGATGGTTACTGCATGTGCAATCATACAAGGAAGGGAAAATAATTCATAGTCTAACAAGCAAGTTTTCCTTGACCAGAAGGCATACCTTACACTGGAATTCACTATGTAAGCAAGAGAGAACTTTTTAAAATTCTTATTATATCTACATAATATTGGTCATCAGTTGTCAGTGAAGTATGAAATGTTTCAGCAGGAATTTTGGATTTGCCATGCCAACAAGTTCTAGACATTTTCATCTAAGAAAACAAAGGTGTTAAGAATATACAGTTTAAAATAACAGATGCACCTTCTGTAATTTGTCTTATCAGTAATTGGAGTAAATCAGTGTTAAAAGACCATAATTTACAAATTGAGCATTGTTGTCAGGTGTTGTCTTTTGACATGTAGGGCTACAATTGTATGCAGTTTAAAAAAAAAAAAAAAAAATTCAGCTTATATTTGCCAAGAACAAATTGTCCAAGTATACAGTACAATGAAGGACATCCCAAAGCATTTTCTCCCTTTTGTCCTTTCTTCCTTTCTGAAATGATGTTGACTTATTAATTTGTGATATTGTAATTATATGATAAAAATGTATTAGCACTTTATGTATTTTTTTATTGTATGCTTAGTTCTGCTAGGAATAAGCAATAAGCCCTCTCACTTATGCTTAATGCAATGCTGTTTAACTTGTCAGCATATTTTCCCAAAATGAAATGCTAGTAATAGTCACAAAGATTATCAAATGCAATGCATCTGTAGATATATACATTGTTTTGTGTTTCTAATAACTTTTCATCTTTTATAAATGGTGGGTTAAGGTGTACTTAGGTTTTGTCCTACTTTGAAACTTGACATCTGATTGGTTTAGAATCTGGAGGTGATTTTTGTTAACTGAAATTCTTTCATTTCGTTAACACTGATTGGGCCGACTGATTCCAAGCAAACAAAGCACACGTATCCCCATTCATCTTTCTCATAACTGGTAATAAAGAACATTTTAATCTTGACACGTTGTTATGACAGTTATTCTCCAGACATTGTGTAGCAGTTGTATCTGTCAACCCATGCATTATGGAATATTTTAGTTGGCAGTCTTCCAAGCGTGAACATTAATCTTAGTATTTCTTCCTACAGTTCCTAATCAAGATATTCCAGGGGTGATTGCACTAACATTGTTTGAAGACTACATCTACTGGACAGATGGGAAAACCAAATCACTCAACCGTGCCCACAAAACCTCTGGATTAGACAGACTGTCGCTAATTAACTCCTGGCATACCATAACTGATATACAGGTGTATCATTCTTACAGGCAACCTGATGGTAATTATTCCATATCTTCTGTTCCGCACGTTGATGTATTTTACATAGAAGCCAATTGTTAAATTAACTGAAGATTATTTATCGATTTTTTTTTCTTCATTATTTTGAATTTTAGAAGTCTTTGAGTGAACTTTTTAAAATATAAATCTGTGATTACTGTTGTAAGTATATCAGTTATTAAATAAATGTGTTATGACTTGTTCAGTGATGAGATATCCTATGAGTTTTATAGATACTGATTGGAATTACAGGATTGTAAAGTTGTGTTCAAGTCCAAGTTACCAGCTATAAAGATCACAAAAGTGCATCATGAAAAGACATTTAGCATTATTTTTGCAAAAGTAGGAAGAGTGTTAATAATGCAGAAGAATACTGTTGTTTTGAAGCCTGAGACTGAGAAAATGTCTGAGTGTAGGTGTTACGTTTGCATCCGATCTAATGTCTGTCTATTGGAATTCTAGGTGAATGCAATCTGGCACTTGACCTAGATGAGCTGATTTTTTTCTCATTAATACATACTTTTTTTAAAGTACTTTTTTCTTCCTCTCATTGTTTCATAACTGAATGTACATACTTTGTAATAATTGCTGCACACAAAAGAAAAGAATAGCTTAAAGGCAAAAAGAAAGGGATTTTGTAGTAAGACTTTCCATTTTAAAAATAATGTGTGTAATACAATTTTCTTCTGTGAAGCAGATACTCAGAAGTAAACAAAAATAATACGCTCTGATATTATTTTCCTATTCTATCCACAGTGTCTAAACATCTGTGCACAGTAAACAATGGTGGTTGCAGTCATTTATGCCTTTTAGCCCCTGGCAAGACGCATACATGTGCCTGTCCCACTAACTTTTATCTTGCTGCAGATAACAAGACATGCTTATCAAACTGCACTGCCAGTCAGGTGAGTGCATCTGTATATTTATTTTACTGTGTTTTCACCTGCTTTTAAATAATAAATGCTGGTGTCCATGAAATATGGAAGCTCTTGTCAAAGGGGCTGAAGGCTAGGTAAGTGTTGGATGTATTGAAGGTGTTTCATCTTTATGGTTATTTTTGAAAATAAAATTGCAATTGCCTTTTTTTCTCCTAGAGAGTGTAGAGCTTGTTCTCTTCTAAACGTGTTTCTTCCAGTCATTAGAACAGATAAAGCTAATAAATTTATCAGAATTACTTTGAAAAATCATTTATATAAAATACTTAAGATAGAATTACAAAATGATTTGAAAGTATACATGAATGAGCATTCATTACACAAATAGGAAAAAAAAGGAGCCCAATCCAGTAGGTAGATAAGTAAATAATGGTTACAGTAGAAACAATCCAGTAGCTGAAATGGAAATGGTAGGATGTGCAATTACCTAACAATTGTATCAATTAAAACATTGAATTATGTGTGCAAGGTGGATTTCCTGCAACTTGAGATGCGTATTTTGTAGAGCAGATAAACAGTTATACGGTGCTTAAATGATTGTTCTGAGTAAGACTTTAAAGAATCAAGTTATAGAATGCATAAAAATTTTTATCAGTGGAGCTCAAGTGGAGAGTACCAAAGTCATTAGAACTATAGTGACTTCTATCAGCTGAAGTGCATCTCCAAAAAAAAAATTATGAATAGGTGTTATAAAATCAAAATACATAGATAATTAGTGGAACAATGACAAAATCACTTAATTTCTCATAGTTTGTTGTTTTGGGTGGTATTGAAATCTTTCTTCCTTCTTTCTCTCCTTTCACAGTTCCGTTGCAAAACTGACAAATGTATTCCATTCTGGTGGAAATGTGACACTGTTGATGACTGTGGAGATGGCTCTGATGAGCCTGAGGAGTGCCGTAAGTGTATTCTAAATCTGGAACCCAGTATTGTCAGTAGAGTCAAAAAACCAATGTACTGCTTTATAGAAGTTAAATGATTTTCTATGAAAGCTTTTGTTTGCAGTACGTGTTTGATTTCCTTGGTTCCTTGTCAGATTTACAGAGGTCAGTATCTTGACTGTCATCCTGTAAATATTTACATTAACTAATGTTTACTAAGCTTTTAAGATCTCTGGAAAAAAGATATAATTACAAGTTTTTCATGTTTTAAACCTTTTTTCATCCCTTTTCAATTTTTGTTGAAGGTTTTATATTTTAGTGTTCTGTCTTTAAGAAAAAAATCTGCCACATTTGATCGTTTTTTGTGTGTTGGAATTGTGATATTATAAATCTCACTGGCTTTTATTTTATTACAGTTATATAAGTTTAGCTGCACATTATTACTGAGTGCAGTTTCCAGAATAACAAGATTAACGTTCTCCATGCGACTCCTTCTAAGAATCTTTTTATTTTTCCCACTAAGTCTTATATGTATATATTTTCGTTTTGTACTTCTATAAATATTTCCAAAGGATAACTTGAGGAGCTAAATCCCACCACTCCAGTATGCACAATTTTATGTAATGATAATTTGTAATGTATCCTTGACACACTATCATGAAAGTGGTGCAGATACAGCATATTTCTCAATAGTCTCCCATTATCCAAATAGCAGATTCCCATAGTATTTCTCCACTGAAATGTAGACAACTGGAGGTCAATTATGATTATGTTTTCAGCATCCCAAAGGATGACTGATATGAGGCACATAGCTGACGGCAAGTTTACTCAGTAGTTGGAAAAATACCCGTCTAATATACTGGGTTCTCAAAGAGAAATGTTATTGATGATGCTGTTTTCCGTCTCCGTCATTAACTGCTTTAATGCTATTATATTAATCTACGTAAATCAAAATACTGTTGTATTTTTACCCCAAACTTAAATACACAGAGAACGCTGCTATGCCTTATAGTCTTCAAGACAAGTAAATATTTATGGAAGATATAGCTATAGGAGAGCATAATTGTCCACACACACACAAACAGCAGTGGCTATGAGAACGAGCAGTGGTGGACATGTCAAGAGTGGGATGGTGAATTCCTTAAATGCATATTTAAACTGAAATGTTTATATCCTAAACTGCAAGCTTATGTTCAGCTAATAGCAAACATCCATCAGTACAGGACTGTATAGTGAGTAAAATGTAACTGTAGTTAAATGAATGTAAAATCTCAGACTTTGAAATTAATTTTGAAGTACCATGCGTGCATCTTCCTAACTTATCTGCTTAGACTGAGGCAATACAGTTCAATACAAATGTTCAGAAATACTTCTGTTAGATCCATAGAGAAGGAACAATACTATTGACACTTTGCCATTACTTTGTCGTTATTAATAAGCAGTTTTCTTTTCTTCCAGCTGAATTCAGATGTCAGCCAGGACGTTTTCAGTGTGGAACTGGACTTTGTGCCCTTCCAGCCTTTATCTGTGATGGAGAGAATGATTGTGGGGACAATTCTGATGAACTGAACTGTGGTAGGTGTTTATTTGTATTATTGATGTGCTGCACTGTTGTAAATAGTGTGATTTGCATTCTGCCAAGAAAGTGATTTTGTACTTTACTTTGAGTTCTAATCTTTCAATCTTCAATTTTTTAATCTTTTTAAATCGATATTTTTATTCTTTTAACTTCCAGACACGCATGTGTGTCTGTCAGGTCAGTTCAAGTGCACAAAGAATCAGAAATGCATTCCAATAAACCTGAGATGCAATGGACAGGATGATTGTGGTGACGAAGAAGATGAAAGGGATTGTCGTAAGTAATGTTTAGCAAATTTTGTTCTGATTTATGTAGCTGATTTTAAACAACAAGATAAAAAAAAAAATTATGTAAAATAATGTAAACGTCTCTGTAAAATAATTTGAGGAGCATGCAAAGCTGCAAATTCACTGGATTGTTTGATATACAATGTTTTATATACAAGAGAACAAAGTAAAATGCCATTTATTAACTTCATTTTTTAAAGTTATTACAAAAAAAACGAGTGTGTAAACAAATTAATTTCAAGCATTTAATTGTGTTTCTGGCTTAGGCTGAAATATCAATTTTACTCTTAACCACCTCACAAATGGCTTATCTTCTTGAGGCTTTCATCTTCCATGCCTTGCGGCAGCATATTTCAAAAAAAAAAAAACAAAAAAAACCCAAATACTTCTCTGCTTATTTTATTAAAAATGTTGTGGTCTTATAGCTTCTTCTCTATATTTTTTTAATGATATAGTTTTCAGCTTTTTCAATTCCCTCTTCTTCAGGGACTTTATTAATTTACCTAAGCAGCTTGATTGCTATTTACACAGATACTATACATCTTTGTGGTAAATCCAGTTTTGCTCCATATTTCACAGAGGTGATTAAAGAAAATACATTTCAAGTCTAATTGAAAATATTAAGTAGTTTTTATTTTAGATCATTCTGGAATTAAGATGATGATGCTGCATCTTGAAATATCTTTCATCCTGTTTATTATTCAGATTTACAGCTGTTCTAACTTGTTTAGTCCTATTTTCTGAATTAGCTGTCTCAGAAGTTGCATTTATACAAAGAACAACTCCTCCAAGTAAAGGGTTGCTAAGGATACAAAGACTTTGTTAATTATCGTGTTTGATGACCATCTTCCAAATAGCAGAGCTCAAGCTTCTGACAGACAGTATTATATGCTTATTTACCTCTTATGTTTCCTTAAAAATCAGGTAATTAGGGTCAGGTAAACACCTGCGGAATATAGGAGAGATTCCTTTTTTCAGTATGAAAACGACACACAACGTATAAAAGGTTATCTTACAAATATAAGTTGTTCCAGAGAGAAATAAAATGAAATCAGAGCAACAGAGCCTACAGCACAGTGTTGTTCAGGGGATGTGGGAGGTATAGGAACAGGATCAACAATGACAGAGTTGAAAACTTGGAATATTTTCAACTAGAGTGAGATAGGATAATCTGGTGATATAAAGCAAGCTCTTGAGTGTTCTGAATCTCAGCTGTCAACCCAACTGCTACGACACGGCATAGGATGGAAGATGGAATGGTTCATTACACACATTTTTCATTTCTGTCTGTCTTGCCTAACACCTTACTAATCCATTCCTAAGGGTTGGAACTTGATGATCCTTCTGGTCTCTTCCAACCTAAGCTATTCGTTGATTATCTAGGCATTATGAGCTTCTCTCTTAAGAAAGTTGAATATTCTACCTTATATTCTAATAAAATCTATTTTTGTCAGATATTTAAATCTGGCATAAAATAATTTTGCCTTCATTTTGTTGCTATGAACAATATAAACCAAATGTTTTCTTATAGAAATTACTTAAATAATGCCAGAGATGCCTTATTTCTGAAGGCTTTTTTTACCCTTTACGTTTCTTACAAAGCAAATGTTTTGAACATGATCAGAATTTTCTAGATTTAATTTGAACCTTCTTCCTTAAAGCGGAAAACAGTTGTTCTCCAGACCATTTCCAGTGTCAAACAACTAAACACTGCATTTCTAAACTGTGGGTATGTGATGAAGACCCAGACTGTGCCGATGGATCAGATGAAGCTAACTGTGGTGAGTATGACTGTAGTTTAGAATATATCACTGTTTTGAATATGTGAGTGTAGCTTGATGTTGTTACAAAAACTAGTAAAGGAAATTATGATTTCACTTAACAAGTCTTCTTCCAATCTATGGTAGTAGCTGTATGATACGATAGTTTTACCTGGCTCTTATGTTCTTGTTGGATGGTAATATGTAAGTAGATTTAATTATTATCACTTTAATATAGACATTAAAATAGACTTAAATACTACTACATTATTGACTGGGATTATGAATGAGTTTCTCATCTGCAATATAGTGACATTTTCTGTTTTTCTGAAAAATTATCAAGTTTCCACCAAATTATTCCACATTTTATTGCTATTGTGATTAATAAATAGTGAAAAATTTAATAATTTCCTTTAGTCTAGTATAATTTCAGTAGAGGTGCATAAACTTTTTGTTCCAGACTAAGAAGGAGACACAATATAATAAAGACATTTCATAATAAATGAATTGCCTTTGTGAAAATCCAACTCTATTTTTATTTCAAATTTACTAGTTGATTATTATGCCTTCTGTTTTTATGTTGGAGAAAATAGGAACACCGAGTATGGATAAATTGTTATACGCCACTCATAGCTATGTGCTATTAACTAAGCATATGAAAAGAACAGGATGACTTTAATCTCACTTTAAATTTTTCCTTAATTTTAGCGTTTGAGGTATGTTTAAATAACCTCTTTATAGCAGTAGTTTGAACACAATTTGTTCTTCTACATTTTTTTTAATAATTAAAGATTGTTATTTTTATGAGCAAACTTCAGGAGAATTAAATTTTGAATTTACAAGTAGACTATAATAAAGATCTGCATATGCTGGTTCTAATAGTAACGTATCATTTATAGTTCATTTTTAAAATGCCTACATTGCAAAACTTTGCATATAGGGTAATTTCTTTTTTGTTTATGTGCTGCAGAGACATAAATATTTTTCTTAGTAAATATTTGCTACCATGTGTTATGGGGAATACAATATTGAGTGAACTTGTTGGAACTTTATGTATTTAGTCTTCTGTGATTCATTTCCAACTGAGGCGATTAAAGTAGTTAACTAAGTGTTAATGAGTGTATGGTATTTTTCAAAGAATATTAGATAGAACTAATGCATGCTTTTTGTCCAGACAATTAAAATAAGGCATTAAATTATGGCAATCTTTACTCAGAGCTTTGATACTTTACATCACAAAAGGCCCTTTTGGGGGCTAGAATATGAAGAAAACTGTGTTCAGTCTGAGGAAGTTATCTGCTTTAAAGGTTTTATGTATTTTAATATTTACCAGAATAATTTGTCAACTACTGTTTTTTTCCTTTCTCCTTTCATTTAATATTAATTTTATTTTTATCTAAAAAATACCTTAATCTCTGTCAATTATAATTTAAGATAGAAACATGAAAATTAAGTAACCATAACTTTTATGTTCTATTTCTATATGAACTTCCACATTTCCATGGAGTCTTATTGTAAGAAGAGTGGAAAGCAGTTTAGTGTTTGAAGACAGCTATGACAAAATGTGGGTGTACCTTTCAGGATTCCACAATACAAAAAATAAGCTCTTTAACTATTTATTTTGAATTGTATATATGTTTCCAAAAGATCAAACATTTGTTATGAAAGTTTCTCAAATTTCCGTCTTTATCTCTTAGTTCTACTGTCTTCCTATTTTCCTGAGCTCTCATTAATCTGGAGAATGAGGTGGAAGACAAGCAAATCTAGTCTGTTAGGGAAGTCAACTGTAAGCTACTATGAGAGATCGGAGTCAACATCAAGGTAAAATAAAGCTTTTAGAGTGAACAAAAAATGATCCTTAGAAATACAGAAGAAGTATTTTGTAGGTGGAAAGAATTAAATAGTTATTTTTATTTATTAAAAATAGAGTAAGAAGGAAGATTAATATTCAAGGAGCAATCGTACATTTGGAATACACAGACTTTTTTTGCTTGCTTGTTTTTTAAGAATGCCAGACTTTCTACATCAGTGTACATAAATGCAAAGAGGCAAAACAACAAAATAGATTTAGTATGCTTTATGAAGAGTAAGGAAGTAAATCTTCTATGTTGTTTCAACAACCTAGCAGGTAGTTGAAAAGGAGGTTCTCTGTTTTCTGTCTTTCTCTGATTAGATCTTGATATTCATTGTAGAAGGATAAATAGAATATGATCTGTGATTAGCCTTTAGGACTCATTTTGTGGGCAGTTATGTTATTTCAGACTATAGAGTTCACTAGAAATATTTTAATGCACAGGATAGGCATAGAATGTGAAACCACCTTTGCAAAGCAACAAAAGCAAGTACAGTAAGTTTTTATTTTATTGTTATTTTTATGCCTTCTATTGTTAAGTGTTCTTTAAGTGCTTGCCAGTGCAATTATTTGAAATGTCATAATTGAAATCATGCTCCCCAGGGAAATTTTCACAGCCCTGAGTCTGCTGGAGTACAGGCAGTGTTTGGACAGTGCACTCAGGCAGATGGTCTGATTTTTGGGTGGTCCTGTGTGGATCCAGAGCTTGGACTCAATGACCCTTGTGGGTCGCTTCCAACTTGGAATATTCTATAATGCAAATTCTATGAAATATCATTGATTATCTCTGGATTATTTTTGTCATCTTGAGAAACATCATAGGTTAAAGTATTTGGGGAGGAAACTGATAATAATTGTGATGATGGCAGAGAATTACAAGCAAATGCAAAAGGCAGTATTTAATTACCAGATTTGTGAGCGTACAGGTCCACACCAGTATTTGCCTCTATCTATTTGGTATTCAAAAGCCATTCCTAAAACAAAACACAGAATCAGCAGTTTGGGCCATAGCATCAAATGTCATACATCTGATTTCATATTCAGAGGCGGAGAAAGCAGGTTGACTTCAGCTAGTATTTCAGTCCCTCGTTCTTTTAGGTATTAGAACTTATCAAGATGTCAAGATAACAACAGGAAGCCTGAACTGTGATGTTTTGAAATAGCAAAAAAGACATGGAAATTTAGGAAATTGAAATATCATCATAGCAGCAATGCAATTTTAAATATGTCATTGAAACTTTATATAAATAAAGTTCTCTTTTTTTTTTTTAAATAAAGCCCATTGATTTTAATTTCCTTATTTTCTAACCAGACCTTATTAGGCTAAAAGAATTGTTCAGGAAAGAAACAAAGAAAGATGAAAAGAAAACACAGAGGCAGCTGGAGTAGTTCAGAATGTTCATACATCTCTGAAACACTTTGCTTATGGTACTGCTGTGTAAACCAGAATGTTCACTGAGAATTTACCACATGACAAAAATTAACCTCAATTTAGCATTATATACTTGATGCTTTTTCCTGTATGTAAGCAAACTTTCAGTCTGAGACACCACTAAGTGAAAGTATAAAGCAAAATGCAAAATTTTCTTTTGGGCATCATTAGTCTTAAATTGTTACATATAAGCATAGATGTTTAGAAATATGTATTCTGTATATTTGTAAAAAATATTCTCATAGGTTTCTGTGATCTCTTCTTTTGCAGGGCAATCATCCTGCAAAATTCAAGGAGAAGTCAGTGGAGCTTTTGAGATTTAATGCAGTAATGTTAACCTATCCAAGCTAATGTGTGCATTCTTCTGAATTTCCCTTTTTTCATTAAATTACATTTTTTACAGCATCTTTTTTATCATCATATTTAGGATATATCCGTTATGGCATGGCTGAAAAATAATATCTTAAACAACATGGTATGAGAAACAAAATAATTAAGGAAAATAACTTTTCAAGTATTTAGGTTTTTTCTTCTGAAATGTGTCCTGCAATGCCATCATGTCATTCTTCAGTAGCAGTCTTTCAGTTTTCAACTTCACAATGATGTAAATGATGTTTTGTTCTAATTGCAGACAAAAAAACTTGTGGGCCTCATGAATTCCAGTGCAAAAACAACAACTGTATTCCAGATCATTGGAGATGTGATAGCCAAAACGACTGTGGTGATAATTCTGATGAAGAAAACTGTAGTAAGTAACTCTTACCTAAATGCATATTTCAACGAGTAGTCAGTTTAGCAACATGTAGGAGGATTTTCTTCTGATAAACTGTATATGTATGGTTTCTTTTTGCATGAGAAAGATGAAAAAATGTCTGATCCATGACTTTTCAATAACCTGATGAACTCGCAATGAATAGTGTTGACAAAGTTTACTCTTTGTAAACTCTCATAACTCTCATACTTCAGACTTATTATCCAGATAAAAATCATGAAAAATATCCAATCAGAAAAGCTGCTTTTTAAGAATAGTTTTTGATTGCGATTGCTTTATTTATATTCCTTAGGTGACTTGTCATGTTTTCTGCCTCCAGAAATCCATTTCCATAACACTTAACTAAATAAAAAGTAGACCTTGTTATTGAAAATAGTTTGGATAATCTAGTTCTCTCCTACCCATGGGCAACCTCAATGCCTAATAAGTCTCTGTAATACTAATTGCGGTGTGTTAATTTAGATCTGGTTCTGAGGAAGAAATGACAAACTCATAATGGTTCCCTTCATCTCAAAATCATTCTCTTTATAAAATATTTCTACAGGAAAATTCCATCAGTATTTTGAAGTGTCTTCCATTCAGCTGTCAAACAATTTCAAATCTTCTTTTCTTTTGTTCTTTGAAATCTAAGAAATTTAATGTCTTTTATAATCTTTAATGCAAGATCCTGATTGTATATCCTTAGGGTGTATTTGACATCTTTGAGGTAATAACTTAGAATGCTTAATGAATTCTTGCGCTGTCTGCCCCTTTCTCTTATTCAACACATGGTGTCCAGAGGTACAGGAAGTCTGAAGGCAAACTCGTTTAGCTTTAAAGTTTAAATAGATTTGTATGCCTTTTGATCACAGTCTGTTAAAAAACGCTATGAGTTACTGAAAGCATTAGTATCATAGTTTACATATGCAAGCGCTTCATCTAAAGGGAAAAATGTCATCTGACTTGGTAATTGCTATCAGCCATGTACTGTTAAACATGGGCAGGAGGGTGTTGATGACACACAAAAGCTTTCTTAGCTTCGTGGGAGATCTTACTTGGGAAACACATATTAGTGCTGGCGAGATATTTTTTTTTTCTGTTATAAACAGTAAGAACTTATTTTTATGGTTATGTAAAAATCAAAGGAAAATACATGGTTTCACGATAGCAGCATTCATCTATGTGATTAGTTGAAAATTTTGTAAAAGAAACACCTCTCCTAAACATTACTACTGTCTGCAGTATAAGTATTAAGCATCTTGCTTTGAAATATACCATCTGTGAAGTGGGATTAATTCTTTCTTAAATAGTAGGTTGTCATGGAATAAAATTATAAAAAAAACAAGTGTTCAAATAATGAAGGAGCAATCAATTTGCTGTCTTTGTGTTCACTTTAGTAATTAACTTTAGTAATTATATTCTAGTCTTGACTATTCTCTAAACTTTCAGATCAAGAAATCTATAGCTAAGTGTAGTGCATAGGATAAGTGATTTGAGAGTACCCAGGTGCAGCCTGTGCAACTAAAATTACTTCAATTCTGAGAACAAACCTTACAATATATAAGCATTAAACAGATCTCTGCAGAGTGATGAATTGTACTTCGTGTTTACTGTTTGTTATTTGGTTTTTTTTTTGCTTGTCAAATACATGCTTTACTTCCTAACTTTTGAGATCCTTTATTCTACTGTCTAAATTAAATACAGTATGCTGGCACAGTTGAAAATTCACTATCTCAGAAGCACTGGGATAATACATAATATCATTGAGTCGTTCAAACTAGAAGTAAAAAATTCTTGGTAGGCTGCGTGGCCTTTTATAAAGTGGAACAAAACAAATATATATGAAATATATATGAAATTCCAAAGGATTTGACAAAGTGAATTGTACATTATAAGTTCTTCATAGCACGTGTGCATTTACGAGGAGTTTTTCAGGCAGTTGTGTGAGAAAATGTGATGTTTCTCAAAAATACAGAATGAATCCGCTGAATTTTAGAAATTTAGCTCAAGTATTTTTGTTTAGTTATATAATTTCTTTACGTGTACAAATAATTATTTGATGAAATAAATAATGGTGAAAAAGAACGTGTTTTGGAAATATATGGGTGTGAAAAATTATTAGTGCTATAATACCAACAGTTGTGTCTGTTATGACTTTATATCTGGCATAGCTTCTTCAGACTTTGTTGCTCTTTAACTGTATCTGTCTTACAATATATAATGTGAATTATATTTCCTGCTTATTTGTTCTTTGCAATTCTTATATAATGCTTACACTGCCGAATGCAAAAGAGTTGTGGTCCTTCAAAAAAAGACAGAAAATGAGTAGAGGGCTGTCATTTGAAGCCCCCCAAATAAGTAAGAATTACTGCCCAGAGAGGCTGTGGATGCCCCATCCCTGGAGGTAGGTGTTCAAGGTCAGGCTGGATGGGGCCCTGAGTATTCTGGTCTAGTATTAAATGTGGAGGTTTGTGGCCCAGGCTAAGACAAGGAGTTGGAGCTTCATTATCCTTGAGGTCCTTTCAAACCCAAGCCATTCTACGACACTGGGAGGTTAAAGGTCCCTATTGAGAGCACTAACTAAAGTAGAATGTATTTTTAACTCGGTTAATAATTATCTTTTTGGAGGGGGAATTTTCTTTCAGGGTTGTTTGGATTTTTTATGAAAGATATTAGGCAAAATAGTATTTCGTTTCAGGGAACTTTAAAAATGGAGAATTCCATTGTAATGACTGTCTTATTCCTGCTCATAAGAAGACACCAGTAATGTTTCACTGAATGTAGTTAAAAACATATATGCTGTAAACAGTGAAGCAAAGCAAATATAATAATGTTGCAGAAAGACATGCATTTAATCGGTGTGGAAATACTACAGTTGCTGGATAATCTTCTCAATGCTTTGTTGCTCTTACAAGATATCAAGATAACAAATTACTTAATTTTGTCCTTGGATAACTTTGTATTCTAAAGGCAATGAGAACTAGCGATTATTCAGTGTCTAAGTGAACACATTTACACTAGTGTATTGAAAGAAACTAAGCTGAAATAGCTGGAATCTATAATGTCTCACAGTGTCATCTTCAGTAGACAGATCTTGAGTGGACAGTGCTTTAAATTCTCTGCATTCTTTACACTGCTTCAGGCTCAGCTGACTAGGTGCAAATACAGCCATGCCCCATGTCAGTTTTCTAAGAGCAGCTAGATTGCAGTGACAAACAAAGACATGTTTAACCCACACAAATGCAGGTAAAAGCTATGTTGCAAGTTCAAACTTTATATCCTATTTTAAGAAATAAATATTCTTCCGTCCTAGTTGTGTATAATACCTCAGATACCTAATAAAATCCTTTAAATTCATGGTTTAATCAAATATCTATGCTTATTAAATAAGAAATTGAACCACAAGTATGAAATGATTTTGTATCTTTCCTGCGAGATCCCATTCTTTGTGCTATTCTAGTTGTCAACTGTCATCACCACAGGTTATTTTCAGACTTGAAATTATGAAAGGAAGTCATTTTATGTGCTGTATTTCTAATAAAACTCTTCATAATTGTACAAAAATGCTTTTTTTCAGGATGTAGTTTCATTGTTTTTGTAAAGCAGAAGCTGAAAGATTCTGACTTTTATTGGTTATGCAGAGATCTATAAATACTTATTCCTTTCACTAACAACATGAGCAATGATGGAAAAGTTCTCTCCTGTGTGCATTTGAAAATCACAGAGAAGTATTCCTAAAGCAGAAGAAATATTTCTTGCAAACAGAGAAATGAGAAGTTAGCTCATTGTGTTCATTTTTGCAGAATCAAATCTCTGTTTATAAATAATTCATTAGCAGTATAGCAAAAATATTTGCTTATATTTTGCAAATCACAACAGAAACATGACATACGTTTATTTGCATGTGAATTGTTTTTTCCACAAATTATTTCCCTTATATAATTTATCACATGTTGAAATTCCTCTTCCTGGCCTGTTGACAGAAAAAAAGAATTGAGTCACTGATTTGCTAACATTTATACCATGAGCTTTTGCTTTGAGAAAATTAGTAATCTATATAAATTAACCTTTGATTAAAAATAACAATGCTGGAGAACTGATGCAATTGGTGTAGATCTGCTTGTATTACCACTTTCCTACAACTTCAAAATGAAAATTTGTACCTACATGAAAAACTAAATTCTTAAAAAAAAAAAAAAAGCAACTTTTCAAACTGTTTTATCTTTTTTTTTTTTTTTTTTTCCTGAAGTGAAGAGGGAAAACATGAAGAAACTCAAAGATTCATCAGAAAGACTTTTTTTTTGAAACAGTTTTTTTTTTCTTAATATTGGAGATTTCGAAGTTCAGCTTTACCATAGATCTGTGTTAAGAGCATCTGATATGTTCTCATTCTGGTATTCACCAAATTCTTCTCTAGTGGAATTTTCTAATCTTGTGTTATCTTTCCTTGATCACCACACTAGGTTTTTCAAAAATATGCATGCTTCTATCTTCCATTGCTTGTTTAAGGACTCTTTAGCATCATCTCGTCCATTACTACCTACTGCAACTCTCCTCTCTTCATCTCTCCTCCTTTTCCATCTTCTCTCCATTGATAATTTTTTTTGCTGTGTTTTGTCTTTCGCCTGAAATCTTCCCATCTCAAAAGATCTTCCCATTCAATCCTTATTCTTGATGTTACATTATTTACCTAATGCAGTGTTTACATTAAAAGGCTCTAACAGATAACCCTTAGTTGCTTTTTCCCTATGGCTGTCAAAGACTAAGTTACATATAGAGATGTGATTAAATTTTGTTCTATTACCTCTTTTTCTGTACCCTTTTCTTAATGGTTCCAAGTCCATAGGGTGTCTTCGTTTGTTTTTTTTTTCCCATTAACTTTTAGAACAGAATAAATTAGATTAATTCTGTTGAGAGGGAGGTATGGAGAACATCTAGTTCAGCCTCCTGACTACTTGAAAGCTAACCAAAGTTTAAGTACATCACTGAGGATATTGTCCAAATGCTTTTTGACCGCTGTTGGGCATGTAACATGAGCCACCTATCTAAGAAGTCTGTTTCAGTATTTTAGCACCTTTACAGTAAATAAATATTTCCTAATGTCTAAACTGAACATCCCCTGACTCTCCATAGTTCCTGCATATCCTGACATCAGTTATTAGAGATCAGAGACCAGCACCTCCCTCTTCACTTCCCCTTCTTAGGTCATTATTAAGGAACAATGATGTCTTCTCAGACTCCTTTCCCCAGTCCATACAACCCAAGTGTTCCCATCCTCTCCTCATAGGACATGCCCTTCAGTGCTCTTACCAGCTTTTTGTAATAGCTCCATTTTCAAGAGGAAAGTACATAGTATTCTGATCCCTTGTCCAGAGCTTTTATGGTAATAAAAGCAAAAATGCAGAGCTATGCAGCCGATGAAATAAAAGGGCTGAAACAGCCAATCTCACTTTCTTAGGATTACTTCATCACACCCTGCAGCCACCGTCTCCTGCTTGCTTTGCCTGTATCTCAAATTAGTTTTGTCTGCTCTTCTCCTCCACCTTCTGTAATGACTTCCAGCTTCCATGTGTTTCAGTTCTTCCCAGGGAATAGAAAAACATACCATTTCATCACAAAATAACCCACTTAACTTCCAATATACATTTCTCTTGTCTGTCTGTAAGCTTCTTAGATTCTTTTTATCTAACATCTTTTTCTTTTCCCTGAAATTACTTTGAAATTCCCAAAAGTGTCCTTACTTTTACTTTTTTCCATTTTCAATACTGACAGTATACAAAAGTCAGCTTTTTTATGAATGCATACTGTCTGTTGACTTTTGCACTTCATCACATTCCCTTTCTGTTAAGCCTCTAATAATTCTGTCAGTTTTTAAGCCAGTATTGTTGTCATGATTCATCCCATACATAATTGCTGGAAAACTGAATTATTTGGCTTGAAACTCCAAACTTTCCTTCTGTGGTATTCTGTTTACCATCTAAAAACAGTTCCCCTGAATGTGTAGCACAAGGGAACCTATTTCTTGACACATATATATGTTACAAGCTATTTAATTGAAAGTCAAAGTTACATTTAATTCCAATTATGCTGGGCATTAACAGGTGCAAAACAAATTTCTAGTCTGTGGTATCTATCTCACTAAATTTGTCATAACACACATGCACTGAAATAATTAATACTTATATATTCAGCCTCATATAATTTTGTAAAGAAATCTGCCAAATGAAATGAAAGTATTTTCATGAACAGCTTGTAATATGCAAGTGAAATTTATTTATAAAATATGATGAAGCAAAATCCTACAGAAAAAAAAAAGTTCTTAGAATTTGAGGGTTAATGTTTTTGACTTTGTTACAGAAATTTGTTGATTGATTGTCTGGGGTATTTATGTATGAGCTATTTTAATGGAAATACTTATAAACCTAGGCCTATTACTCTTCTTTGTTCAGAGCCTCAAACGTGCACTTTGAAAGACTTTCTTTGTGCAAATGGAGACTGTGTTTCAGCAAGATTCTGGTGTGATGGAGACTATGACTGTGCAGATGGCTCAGATGAGGTAGGCTTCTTCCAGGGGAAGTAGTTGAGAAAATTGCTAGGTTTAGATTGCTTGAGAATGAATTTTCTACATATGACTATGTAAGCAGGAATGCAAATTTGATACATGAGTTCATGCTTTATATAGATGTCTTCACTAAATTAAAATTAAACTTATTAGGTAACCTAAAAACAGAACAAGACTTAAAATCAAGTTCTTTTCTGTAGTCTTATCTTCACCTTTTTGGCCCCGTCACTGATCTACTTCTCTTCTATCCTGTGTATATTTTGTGCTTTAGTTGGGGAACCTTTGCCTTCTGAACCAGCAGTGTATTGTTTAATTTTTTTTTTGAGAAAATATGGGCTGTTGCTTGAGTAGGAAAGGCGCTCTTTTATTTGTTTTGTTCTTTCTCAGTTCCATTTTGTACTTTTTGTCTCTTTTCCTTTCCTGACAGTGTTGGAGTTCATGTGCTTCCTGCTTACTTAGAGGGTTCAAATCACTATTAGTAAATTGAACTTGGAAAGCTATTTTATTTCATAAGACAGACATATTTCATAGTGTGAAGTGGTAGTGGTATTAGTGGTATGGCTGTAACTTTTCTGATTAGCTATATATTTAACTATGTTTATATTAAGTACTTGATCTTGAATATACACTGTTTTTATTGTAACAGAGGTACTGTGAAACAGGTTGTTCAAGAGATCAGTTCCAGTGTTCCAATGGTCAGTGCATACCAGCAAAATGGAAATGTGATGGTCATGAAGACTGCAAACTTGGGGATGATGAGAAAAATTGTGAACCAGGTATTTTTTAAAAGTAAATTGAGATATAGTTTGTTCTTCCAAATTTGTACCATTGTGTCTTCTAAAATTCATTTTTAAAAAGAAGCTGTGTATACAATTGTTGAGGAGAATGGTATTTAATTAGATTGAAATATAACTCAGCTTACAGAATTCTGCTCTGAAAAAAAGGAGTATTTCTTAGCATGTTATGAGAGTGTCTGGAATTTTTTTTTTGGTGGTGTTCATTCTGTTTTCAGTCATCCTTTTGCAAAGCTTCTCTCTAGCAAACTGTTACTGTTGTTTCATTTCACTGTTTATCTTCTGGAAAATGTGGCTATTTGTATTTACTTCAAGTTTTCGGTAAGCATTCTCTACATTAATACAACTTATGAAGTCTATGACAAAATTCCTGATTTCCACTGTGACAGAAATGTCTATCTGTATTTTAAATCATAATGATTAATATGTGTTTATTTTAATTGTAACTACATATACTTTACAGAACCATGGTTTCACATAAATTAAGTTTAATTATAAGCACTTACGTAACTTTAAGAAAATCCTAAGCCCATTTTAAGCAAGCTTATTTTTTTTAATCTACTGATTCTATGAAAATGTGTGTATTTGCCTTATTACCAAGCATAAGGAAAACAAACATGGGCTTCTATGATTGAGTGACAGCATCAGTGGACAAGGGAGAGGCGACTGATGTCATTTACCTGGACTTGAGCAAGGCCTTTGACACGGTCCCCCACCACATCTTTATTTCCAAATTGGAGGGATGTGGATTTGATGGGTGGACCACCCGATGGATAAGAAACTGGTTGAAAGGCCGCAGACAGAGGGTGGTCATCAATGGCTCTATGTCCAGTTGGAGGCTGGTAACGAGCGGCGTCCCCCAGGGGTCTGTCTTGGGACCGGTAATCTTCAACATCTTTATCAATGACATCGATGACGAAATCGAGTGCACCCTCAGCAAATTTGCTGGCAACACCAAGCTGAGTGGTGCGGTTGACACGGTTGAAGGAAGGGATGCCATTCAGAGGGATCTTGAGAGGCTAGAAAGGTGGGCCCAGGTGAACCTGATGAGCTTCAACACAGTGAAGTGTAGAGTTTTGCACTTGGGCCGGAGGAATCCCAGGCATCCCTACAGACTGGAAGGAGCGGTCCTTG